AAATAACAAATATTAATTTAATATTCCTACCTTAAACAAATTAACATTAACATATTTAATACATAATCAAATTTGTTATATACCAAATTGATGTATTTCTAACCATAACAGTTTTAAATGTTGCCTTGTTCGGCGTGTTTGCTTTTATGAACAAAACCAACTTCTGATTTCATACTAATAATATAGCTGATCCGTGTATGACTTTATGAATTAAAAAAAAAAACAATTGTTGATTTCATACCCATAATCTAAATTGATGCACTATTAAACTTTGACTTTTTTTCTTCCTCCCTCGTAGCTTATGGAGAACCAACAGTTTTAATTTTTGGTATCAAATTGATTCATGCGAATCTAAACTTCACCTCGTTCGGCGCGCAAACTATTGTTTTTTTTTTTCTTTTAAAAAAACTACAATCAACATATATCCCAGCTGATTCATGCTACAACTAATTAAAAAATATATATATATATAAATGAAATTAAAAACTAAGGCCACCAACAGTGCTAAAGAAAAAAAATAAATTTCATTATTAAAACATGACTTTAAATTCTCAAATTAATCAATGAAATTTGATTCAATTAATTTATTTAAAAAACCTATAATTAATCTAGCATGCATAGAGTACGAATCAAAGGAGAAGAGAAGAATTAAAACTTGCCTTTAGGGATTTGATAAAAACCCTAACCTCCTTCTTCCTTTTTCTCTTACTTTCTCTTCCTTATTTCTCTCTCTAAAATATGTACGTGATATATTTTCTAACCTCTTTCACAACTCTATAGTTATATATTTATAGGCAACTAAAATAACCCTAATCATTTTCTCATTTCAAGACAAATTAAAATAAAATAAAATAAAATTTAAATACTAAAAAGGTAACTTAAATATATATTACGTATAATCTATGTGTACTCTTTTTTATATATAATATATAAATATATATCAGATTATTATTAAAGGACTTTCTTTATATATATATATATATATATATATATATACACACACACACACATATACATGGGTAATTATTCGTACCGATTAAACTCCTTATCCAAGTAGTCCATGTCAGTCCAATTGATTGGTCAATTACTACAATCCATATCCAATTCCTTAAAAAATAAAAATAAAACAATTAAATTCCTAAATAAATACACATCATCACATACAATTCAATTTAAACAAATAATTAAATCAATTAAACAAGTAAACAATTATTCAAGAAAACAACTAAATAATTAAATGCAATTAAAACTATTAAAATAATACCGAGACTATTCTTTTTAAATTAGGGGTATTACAGTTGGGCTGATCAATCTGGACACCTTGGTAAATGGGCCTATGCCTAACACTTTTATTCATAAAGATTGGAGCCTTAGGAGCCCAGGTATCCATAGCAGTTAGGGTTTGGACTTCTACAATCTCATATGGTAACATAGCTATCAAAGAAACCATTGGATGAGAAGTATGAGGATCCACCCCTTTATTACTCATATCGTTAGATGTGACTGAAGAGCAGAATTGTTGGGCTGAATAGGTACTGTGAACTTTTGTTGTCAGGTCCACGTGGGCTCTGGTATTGAGAGAAAGGACTGGGTCATTATTACCGCTATTAGCTTCGCCAGGAAAGTTTCTGATGACCAGAAAAAATAAGGAAATCGATGGAGAACGTTAAGATTGTGAGGGGCTTTTAGATTCCCATGATTTATGGCTCTTCTTTAGTTTGCCTACAGTTCCCGTCGCTTTCAGCCATAGGCTAAATTGACGTTCATCAACCTTCCAAGGACACGAGTTGATCTCATGGCCAACACGACTGCAATTCTAACAGAGGGATGGCAAGTGCTCATACCAAAATTTGGTCCACTTTTGCTTGTTTTCATGCCATATTTTGAGTCCCCGTTGGAAAGGCTTAGAAGCATCAACTTCCACTCGAATTCGGAGGTATCGGCCCCTATTGAAGTCGAGATCTCTCACCTCGACCTTTTCACAGGACAGGAAAAAGGATGCAATATCTCTGGTTGCCTCTTCTGTGGTGAGTTCTGTAGGAACTTTCGTAACTCTAACCCAAAAGGGGACATTGTGAAACGATGAATCCGTGAATTCAAAATTTGGTGACCATTTTTGGGCTGAGATTAGGTCCCCATTAAAGCCCCATGACCGATTTCTCAAGATTCTCTTATTATCCTCTTCACTAGGAATAATGAACTGGAACATAAGATTTTTTATAGGATACATTTGGAGACTTTCATAGTCCCAAGCTTCACTAAGGGCTTTCCGCATACCAAATAATTTTGGGGGTTTGTCAGTGAAGAGCTTCCCTACAAGACTATGTTGATAGAACTTTAGGCCTTCCAACGCCACTGTGTTGGCGATGACCACTTCTTGCTCTTCTTCAGCCGAAAGTTTGCAAAATTCCAATTGCGATGCCAATTCATCCTCCATTCTGAACGATGGAAGACAAAGAGAAGGAAAAGAGGCACCAAATCAGACTTGACACATCAAGAAAGAAAGAAAACCAGAGCTTCTTGGCTTGCAAGAGCTAGATGTTTTGGACTCCTTCTTGTAAGATCACCGAAGGAGAAAGAACGAAGGAGAGAAACCCTCTAGCGACAGCTAAGGGAGAAGAAAAGAACATTCGATATTGGCAATGCTATTGATATACTGTACTTTGTTATGTTGTTTATGAGCAAACAACATTACACTCTCTAACTTTTCCAAAAAAGAAAACACATTACACTCTTTAGAAAGCCAAAGAGAAGAGCCAAACCAATTTAATATCAACATAATAGCTAATTAAAAATTTAATATCTTCAATAATATCAATAAATTCATGTAAGGCATGTCAATGCGTATATCACTGTTTTGCAACTCTTAAAAATTTCCAATTTTTTTTTTCTTCTTCCAAACCTCTGTTAGTTGAGACGGGAAGACTTTTGATTATTAAACCGCAATCTTAAAAACTTAGGGCATACTTGGTTTCGTTTTCTTAGAACTATTTTCTGAAAACTAAAAATCAATTTTACTTGGTTCCCTTTTTTTGAGAAATGTTTTTTGAAAATTTAGTTATAAAAATGTACAAAAACTCTTACTTATTCAATTTTTTGGAAAATTATTTTTTGAAAATTTATAAAAAAAAGATCTATTTTCAAAAAACTGTCTTTTATAGTTATCTAAAAATTGTTTTTTGTTTTTCAAGTTCTTGAGAACTATTTTCAGAGTTACAAACCAAGCAAAATCATATTTTAAGAGAATTGTCTTTTATAGCTTTGCAAAAACAGTTTTTTGTTTTTGAATTTAAAAAAATAAACCAAATAGGCCATAAACTTCCAAAGCACCTAAGCTACGAAGCAAAAAACGTAGCAAATTAACAATAGCGTCTTCCTTTTCTCAATAAACCCCACAAATTGTATGATCAACAATCCTCTCTTCAAATTATGCATTACTTCCTCCGTCCAAAAATAGATGTCCACTTTAAAAACTCTAGAGTTGTGATACAAAATTCAAAAATCAGATATATTCGATTATATTTATGTAAGTGAAGGATGATATCATTACATGTATAATCATCCCCACTCTTATAAAAAAAATAAAATGTATTCGACTCCCGTATTATTTATCATTATCCTTACGGTCCGTTTGGTTAGATAGGATTTTTTGTTAAAAAGTGAAAGTGAAAGAAAGTAAAGGAAAGGAAAAGAAAATCAAATTTCTATTATGTATTTAATTAGCAAGAAAATTTTTGAAGAAAGTTGTGAGAAAATATTATTTTGTGAGTTTGGAAAGAATGAAAGTGAAAAGAAAGTGATTGTACTTCCCAAACTACCCTTTTAATTATAAGATTACTTTGTACTCTTTTGAGATACTATCATATCTCCAGAATTATAAACAAAATTAAAATTTTAAATTCAAAGATAAATTAATGGATATTATAGTATTTGTAATAATTAAATATATGTGATTATAGGTACAAGTTTAATTATAAAAAATTTTGATTCGAAAATTCTTAAGGAAAAAATGTTGAAGTTAATATATATACTTTTAGTCATAAAAATAAATAAATAAATAAATAAAAAACTTCAGTCTAATAGAAATAAAATATTTGTAACTAAATTAGTTTGTTACATATAATATACCTAGAGTTAAAACTAAATTAATTTAGCATATCTAATATACATAGAGTTAAAATTAAATGAGTTTAGTACATTTCAGTAGTTGAGTCCTAAAGTCATGAGAAGTCATATATATATATATATATATATATATATATATATATATATGAATTAAATTATAATTTAAAAACTTGTATACGTAAAGACACTAACCTAGTTTTTAATCCAACACTTTGTTACTCAATACTCAGATTTATATGTATATATATATATCAGTGTCAATCATTATTAATTGTGGAAGGAAAAAAATAAAATAAAATTTTAATTTTGATATAAAACTACATACAATTAAATTAGTATTTACATGATCTTATAAACAATTTACAAAATAATGACTCTCACTTATTATAGAAGTTTGTGGAGAAAGTGAGGAGGATGACATGGGCATAATAGGAAACTAAGATGTGAAGGCACCACTTTTACGGGAAAGTAAAATTTCTCTGTGTTGAGTAAAATTAAGCAGTTGCAAGAAAATTACTTTCCTGAAAATTTTCTCTTTCACGCTAACCAAACTTCTAAAAAAGTTAAATATATTTTTTTTCTTTTCCTTTCTACCTACTTCATGCTAACCAAACAAACCCTTTGGATTTTAGTCCAACAAAGAAATCAAAGGCAATGCAAACATTTTTATTCCACATTATTGTACCACATGTTTAATACATACTTAACCTTTACCTTTAAAAAAAAAAAAAAAAAATACCACACGCACACACATTGGAACAAGAAAAGAGGCCCAAAAACCCAATCCATAAATTTTGAGTCCATACCACACCTGAAGAGTCCCAATCCAGTATACAGATTAGATCCAATCCACTAAAAGAGTGAAAAAACAAAGAATTAATCTCTTTTTTTGCTCCACAGAAGACACTTCCTCCACCAAAACGCACAGCAATTGGTGTTTCTAAAATTGGGTTCACAGTCAAACCATCCGAGAACAGTGGTTTCTAATGGCTTTTGATGATAAATGGAAGAACACTGCTCTTCTCGTCATAGACATGCAGGTGCCTCTGCTCTTCTATTCTCTCTAATTTATCTTTGTGTGTATCTATATATATGTATGTATATATATATATGTATGTATGTACGTACGTATATGTCATGTTTCAAATTTTTTTGTTCTCCATCAACCGATTCAACCCCACATATATAATTGAGCAGAAATGCCCAACCCTTTTCTTGAAATTCAATTTTGTATATTGGGTTTCTTTTTCTTATTACGTGTGACATTTGACTGACATTCTACTTAATTTTTCATTGATCGTGTGCTCAACCCTTTTCTTAAAATTCAATTTTGTATATTGTGTCTCTTTTCTTTATGTGTGATATTTGACATTCTGCTCTCTGTTTTTTTTTTCATGGACTGTGTAGAAAGATTTCATACTACCAGATGGTCCGATGCTTGTAGCTGGTGGCCAGGCTATTGTTCCCAACCTTATAAAGGCTGTTGAAGTTGCTAGGCAGCGGGGCATCCTCGTAGTTTGGGTGTCATTTCTCTCTCTCTCTCTTCCAACCTATACTGTTTCTCTCTCTTTAGTTGTATTCATACCATTCACTTCCATTGAATTGTAAAATTAATTATTCAATATAGCATGTTGAATCTGATTCTTATTCAAATGTAGGAAGTATGTATATACATGTCTGTGAATATGTTACCTTAATTTTGTTTGTTTTTGCTATATTCTTATCCTCACTTGACTTAATGGTGATTTAGATCAAATTAAGAAATTAGAATTGCTTTTACATTATTGTTATGTTTGGAAGCACCGAATCAGCACTATAAAATTGGGATTGGAAGAAATTTAGTACAAAGTTTGAACTGAATTTCCTCCAATCCCAAATCCAAGGCACCAATTCAGTGCTCCCATAGCATATAAGTTTTCAAGCAAGTGAAAAATGGCATTCCTAGTGCTTTGCTCATATAATTATGAATCTGGCCTTTTCATCTTAATATATATACATAATATACATATATCTGAATCATATTCATAATAGGAAAAAGAATTTTGTTGTACTGATTGAAGTTGTGATTCTCTATGTTTGGAACTTAATCATTGAAAAATCTGGTCTAGGTTGTTCGCGAGCATGACCCACTAGGAAGAGATGTAGAACTCTTTCGCCAGGAATTGTACTCTGATGGGAAGCCGAAACCGACCTCTAAGGGTAGTGTGGGTGCTGAGCTGGTTGATGGGCTTGTGATTAAGGAAGAAGATTATAAGTTGGTGAAGACTCGTTTTAGTGCATTCTTTGCCACACATCTGCATTCGTTTCTTCAGGGTGCCGGCATTAATAGTTTAGTGGTCACTGGTAAATGATTCTGGTCTTGTGGGTCAGTTCTGTTTCATGGGATCTCAATAATAGTTGTGTGTTTATGGCTTGTAATCTCTTAAATATATGTGTTTAGGTGTTCAAACTCCAAACTGTATCAGGCAGACGGTCTTTGACGCGGTGGCATTGGATTATCAATCTGTTACTGTTATTGTTGATGCCACTGCTGCTGCCACACCTGACATACATATTGGTATGCGCTTTGGATCTCTCAAAACCATTACTGAAAAGAAGGCCCCACTTCATGTGTGGCATTTTGCAGAACCTTGCTGTTTTAATTCATCATCAATAAATTGAAGCTTACTTACATAAATATTTTCATTAAATATTCAGGACTATTTTTTGAACTAGATATTTGCAATGACTGGAATTTGGGTGGTTATTCTTCTCTGTGCATAATTTGATGCCTTAATGTTTATGAAACTTAATAGGCATTAATACCAACTCGCTTGTCAAACTTTTTCTTGTTATGTGTTGCCTTATTAGCTGGAACATCTTTCTTCATCAATTAAGAATACTTTGGTTTGAAGTCAAGTTTCTTGTTTCTTATTTCATTGAACCAATCAGAATTTCAGATCATTATATGGCTTGTGATGGTTGGCTCATAGCCTGTTTATACTTGATAAGCTTAAAAAAGGCGACCCTTGATTGTGACTTGTGTTGCTTGTTATTCCATTGTAAGTGCCAATTAATCTAAAATTAAACCTTACGGAGACAGAAATGTGGATAAATTCCAAAGAGTTAGTGATCATCCTAATATTCTCCTGTTTTTTCTTGTGATAAAATATATGCCATTTTGGCCCATTGAGATTTGTATGTTAGTTGTAGAACTAGATTTTATTTCAATTAAGAAAGCTTGTCCAACTCTCAACCCAACTAAATTGAAATCACTATATGAATACCGACAAGCACATCAGCAAAGCAAAAGATGAAGTAGATCACCATCCCAAAGGCAGTTCCATGATTATCCTTGCTAAAGAACCAGAAAATGTGCACACTATAGGCCATTGACGAAGCTCATGAGTGAAAAATTGAAGTTTTTCTGTGAGTTAAAATGTGAGGGCAGCCTAGGAGCATCATTAACAAATTTCTTTCTGGACGCTTGGATACTATGCACCCTGATAGTGACAGAACCCACCTTAGGAATCCCTCATCTTCTATCCTCTTTTCTCTTCTCATATTTATTGATGTAGCGGGAGCTGTGAAATCGTTTACAAGGAACAAGGCTAACTTTGAATCCACAAAGTTGAATAAAAATTGCAAAGCAATTGAAATTTTATTAATTAAAGGTTAAAATTTTATTAATTAAAGGTTAAAATTTTGCTGTTTCTGTCCATGCATATTTATAATAAGTAAAACCCTAAAACTGTAATAAGGAAACTAATAGTATAAAAGAAACTAAAAATAAAAGAAAACTACCTAAAACTAAACTCTCTCTAAAAATTATTAAAATAAAAATAAATAAGAAACCTAAAAATAATAATAAAAATACTAAATAGGAAATAAATTGTTCTACATCATTTATTCTTGCAATATCAACCAGCAGCGTATCACCATAACACATCAGTTGATCCTTGCTGATGCTCATCGATAAATCACAATAAATGAGTTTGTCTCATTTGTTTTCAATTGACAATGATTTTACATTCTCTATTTTTGCATTCATTCTTAACTTAATTATTTTTCTATCGTGTCATTGGCCATCTTAATAACCTTCTGTTAATTATGCTCATCTTATAAATATGTTGTTTCTTGAGTATCGAAGATTCTATATGATTAAGCATGGTTATATTCTAATGACTTTCTGGAACATATTGACCAAACAAAGTTGGAGTTTCCCCATTTGATCACAATGAAGGTGCTTTGTTCACTAATTTGGTGACACTTCTCCTAACATTGTCAATCTCGCTGGTTCCACAAAATAGTCACTTGAGACTGTATTAATTCTTGATCAAGCTAAGAAGTATGACTAATTGCTAGAAGTTCTGAACTATAGTTTGTGATTAGTTTAAAAGGCTTGGAGCAGAATTAGTGCATCTGAATTTGAAGTGTTTAATAAGAAACTTGACACCATAACATGTTTTGGGCCAAATGTTGCTCACTTGCTCACTTTTTGAACTGGGGTGATCGACAGAAGTTTATGGAGGTTCCTATAGTGAGGATCTAGAAGCTTTGGGGTAATAAAGAGCTGTAGAACACTATAGAAAGCAGGTGTTGCTATGGGGTAGGAACAATAGGGGCAGAGTGCACAATTGGTGTCGACTGTAGCTGAAAGATTTTACATACACACGGAATTTAGGTGAAATTGTGCTTAGAATCCGAAGGTAGGTATGTCAAAGTTTATGCAAGTTTGAATGATGACAGAAACCTTGAAACCTCAACACACAAACAAAGATGTAATTCATTACCTCCTGTATATCTAGTAGCAGTAGTAACTATACCTATAAGGCATTAGATTAGAGTATATCACTAATAATATTCTACCGGTAAATATTAGATCCTTTTTTTTGTTAGAGAAGTTGCATTGATACCAAAGGACAAACCCAACATGTTGATGTCTCTTCCTTATGTGGAGATATGCCTATTGAATCACTACATGAAGAAAGTCACATGATCAATTCAACAGACCACCAGATAATATGACTGATGAAAGGGCAATAATTTAATTTAGAGAGAGAATCTGGTTTTAGAGTCGGAAGTAACTCATTTATAGGAAATCTAAATTGGTAAGAGATGAGAGTCGATTAGTCAATATTTATTTTGATATAACTCGTTGAAAGAGATCTGAAATGCATAGTTCTATAGAAAGTCCACCACCAGCACTGCACCGCCCAACTCCTAAATAATCGCCTTATCACTTATGAATTCCAAACCCCCCAAAAATTAGGAAAAGAAAAAAAAAAAAATCTGTGTTAGTATGAAATATAGGCTGACCTTATAATACAGAAAGTGAGAAACAAAGAAAGACTTTGTAAATTTGTTTTTATATGGGAGAAGAAAACCGGAGTTGGGTAATTTAGATGTAGTAAGAAGAAGGAAACCTAGAGCTTTTGTGGAGTGATTTTGCAGTTTGTGGTAATTGAAAATTGTATACCCAAAGGTATAGAGGTATTAAGATATCTAAAAAAAGATTATGGAAGGGACTTGGAACAAGTTGGAATTAAAGCTCTAATGAAGTTGAAGAGGAGTCATAAACTTTGCAGTAGTAGCTTCCGCAAAATTCAACAGAGAGAGAGAGACCAGAAACATCTTGGAACTGTGTTCTATCCTCCTCACCTTTTCATGTGTACAAAATGTAAAATCTTCTATTGACAAAAATTACCAACAAAGATCAGATACAAATGAACTCCAGGTAATACAAAAGTACCATGTTACATAGGTGAGAAAAATAAAGAACAGGAAATTATGTGCTATCAAGGTTAAATTTGGAGCCATACAACAAAAACTTGGTAGTAGGCTCGTAGCATAACATATTCCTTGCAATCAACTGATGTCACATACTAGGACTAGGGTTCCATTAGTGATTATAATTTCATTTTTTTTTTTTTTGATATAATCCATGGCTGTTAGTAAGATTCTTCTCGTGTATGTACATATTTTAGGCCTTTGAACTAAAGGAGCCCGGTGTTCTTGAAGATGCAGAAGGCACTTTATTGAGATTTGTTGAGAACATTAAGTTTTTAACTAGGCTCTTTTTTGTTGGTTTTGTTTCTCTGTTGTGCTTTGTTTCAAACACTCTGGTCGTTAGGGGTATGCAAAATTTATATATTATTTTCCCTTTTTAATTGTTATATAAGAACCCTCACAATAACTACAAATTCATTTTATCTTTTCGTGTAAGTTGTGTCTTTTGTGGTTCTTTCATATCGTCATTGCCCAGACCATAAAACAATGTCGTGACAAAAAGAAGAAAAAAAGATTGATGTTATCATTTCTTTCTTTCACCTGCTTTAAAATGTTCTCCTTTTTCTCTACCAAATATCTAATTATCATTGCATCAAGGAAGTTCAGTACCCAAGTGAAATTCTACTTTTGCTACCAAGAGGTGGCAGACTGGCAAGTTCAAGTGCTTGAAACTGGTTTCAGGTCTTAAGTTTAGGCGTTTCTTCTTTCTTTAATTAAAAATTGTATTTTGACTCTTGGATGTACTTTTTATAGCACTTAACTATTACTTGTATTTTTCTTCAGAATGTCTATATTGCAAAGTGGTTTAGCCTATAAAAATAAGTGACCGACATTGAATTCTGCATTTTCTTAACCAGCAAATTTATTTGACATGAGGAATATTGGAGTCACAACCCCAACATTACAGGAATGGTGCAAATCTGATCATTGATATGTTTCACAACTGAATCAGGTGAGTCCCTTTCGTGTACCTCCTTACCAGTCTGTTATATGTTTGAAGGCCTTGAGTGGTCGTATTTTGTAATTGAGTTGGTCGTGATTGAAATGCGGGCAGTATGAAATCAGCTGATATTTTTGCTTCTAGTTCAACTGGTGTCTAGGTCTTGCTTAAACTATTGATTATTTAATATCTGTTGGTTTTATAATATCTACTGTCTGCTTCTGTCCACAGTCGGACCAGTGTAATTGTGTGGTGATGTGGCACACATGTGCATTTGTGTTTATGTGTGAAGGGCTGCTAATTTTAGAAGTTACTAATTAAAAGTAGTCTAACATGCTTTTCTCATATTGCTGATGTGCTTGACAAGCCAAAACATGATGCTTTTTTGGCTAGGCTCATTAAATCCAGTGAAAACAAACTCCGACAGACTACTTTTTTCATTTTTCATTTTTTCCCCTTTATGAAACAAGAGAAGAATTTCTTTGGATCCACAGTTGGAAATTTGGGGCGAGGAGGAGAAAATTGGGAATTTGGAGAAGTCTTTTTTCTTTTCTTGTTTTTTATCTTTTTCACTTGTACCACTTTGAGTACACTCGTGTACCATTTCTAGTGCAGTGCAGAGATTTAATACTTTTAAGTTCACATCTGGTAAGGTGTAATTATATATATATATATATATATATATATATATATATTGTGCATTGGTGCAACTCAAAAATGTCCAGGTTTGGTGCATATTTAGGGAAAGGGCACTGAAAAAGTTACCACTTCCATAATTAGTTTTGACAGTTGGGTGGAATTTGTGTTATTGGCTGCGATTTACTAATTAGGAAATTATGCCTCCAAAGTTCACTTTGGCATAACATTCGTTTTTTATTTATTTTTTAAACCTGAACTTTCCCTTTTTTATTCAACTGTTGTACAAGTAATGGTCTATATTCCTACTCGTGAATTTGAAAACAACGAGAAATTATCCTCAACTAACCAAATTATCCATGACACACATATCACACACACACACACACACACACATATGTTCTTGGCAGGAAACTCACTCTTTTTCTCTATGGGGACTTGAACCCTCCTCACCTCTCACTTCGGGAGGTAGAGGAGATTCCATTAGGTTGCAGACCTTGGTACATACATATCACATATGAGGGGTGCTAGCAGTTTCTCCATACATACTATATATTTATACATGGATAGACATTAATGAAAAAGGTTAAGGATCAATCATACAAATTGTTTTCGAAAAATATTGATGTACCGAATGTATTTTCTTGGAAGACATATCTAAAGGAAGATTCTTGGGTTGAGGTGATCCTGATTGTAAGTATCTTCTTACAAAAATAAAAAAGATTAAAAACAAACACATGTTGAAGGATTTCATTGTTGTGGTGGCCCCGGGGGGGGGGGGGGGGGGGGGGGGGGGGGGCGGGGTTTGGGGGGAATTGAAATTTAGAAAACAAATCTTATCTGTGTGTAGTTTGAACAGAATATTGAACCATTTTAGCCTGAAAACTATGCTTTATTACCACCAAGGGCTAGAGCCTAATGGTATCTCTTCTACTTTTAAATAGAAATTCGAGGCTTACGTTTCACTTATTAGGGTAAAAATAAAAGAACTATGCTTTATTTCTCAAATGATGTTGCTTATTTTAAGAATATTTGAAAAATAAAACTCATTTTGATAAAATTTCTAATCAATCATTTTTATGGGAATTTAAAGTACTTGACTATTTGACATACGTACTTGAGTTTCAATTATGAAAATAAAATGGCTAAAATTGAATACATGTAAATACTAGGGGTGGCAATTCGTGTTGGCGGTTCATATTCGTGTCATGTTGACCTAATAGTATTATATCAAATAGGTTAATCCGAACACGACTCGTTTAATAATCATGTTAGAAACTCTTGACACGAACACAACCCATTTATTAAACAAGTAACATGACACAACCCCTTAATAAATGAATTGTGTCACTCGTAACACGACCCGTTTAATAACCTATTTAACCCATTTAAATTAAAAGAGTCTTGTAACTTGTTTATTAACTTGCGTATAAAATGAAAATATGATGAAAAAATGACACAGTGGATGACGACTAAATTCATGAAAATATTGATAATTGGGACAATACAATTACAAAAATAAATAAATAAATAACAAATACCATATCCATATTGGATTTATATTGAAACAGCAAAAATGTCCAGAGTAATTGGGTTAAAATAGGTTATGGGTTAATTGGGTTGAATTGACATGATTAATTAAATGGGTCTAATCGGATTGAGCTCTGAAACACGAACATGAAACAATTAATTAAATGGGTTGGTATGATTATTACACGAACAAGATTAAGGTCAACCCATACCCATTAACTTGGTGTCATGTTAGTAGGTCGTGTCGAATTTTGCCACCCCTAATTCCAATGATGGAGAACCTGTCCTTCCAAAGCCAGATAGCTCGCAATTGCATTACCAAGTTGTATTTCCTGCTTATGCCCCTCTATTATTCCCATATTCTTTTCCGTTTTGGTTGGGGTACTGTACAAAACCAGCTAAAACAGAGACTCATGAAGTGCTTAAGCCAACAGCGGTACATTCGAAGAGCCCACTCAATGGTGATGAGCTAATTGGCATGTTAAAACTAACTTTGGGGGAAATCTCTTGGCAATGCAGGATCATACTCTCTCGCTGAAATTGCTTGAAGGCTCGACTCGGCAGTAAGCTTTCCATGCTAATCCTTGCTCTGGCAGTTCAGGCATGAACTCGAGCAGCAGCACAATCTATTCAGTCTAGAAGTTACAAGAGTACCGAAATTGTAGGTTAGCTCAGTGATAGTGAGCTTTGGACAAATTTTTGTAGTACAGGGCTCAATAATGTGCAGTTTGGTCTCAGTTATAGATTCTTTTGTTGAATCCACATAATATGTAGCAACTGACAAGACGAAGAGAACAAAGAGATTTCTGAAGTACACTTCTCTGTCTTTCCCTTCGGGAGACTTTCTTTATATAATAATATTTACTATACAAGGAATGCTTACCACAATCATATCCCAAGATTTGGTATCCACAAATAATATTCCTAATTACAAGCAATCTGTAAATCATCTAAATTGGAATAGAATCCCTAATTATAAGTTATCTTACAATTCATCAAATCATCTAATTTTGGTATGTAGATCACCTCCTCTGATACCTCTGATACCCCCCTCAAATTGATGTTGGTGAATCCACAAGCATCAATTTGTCAACTAAGAACTGGTGACGAGTCTTAGTTAAGGCTTTAGTGAAAATACCTGCAGTTTGGAAATTTGTTGACACGAGGCAAAGTAACGAGATGATTAACATAGGCTTCCCGAATGTAGTGACAATCGACCTCTATGTGTTTAGTCCGTTCATGAAATACTGGATTTGCTGTAATCCGGATGGCGCTTGTGTTATCAGCATGAAGAGAAGTAGGATTTAATTGAGGGAAACCTAATTCAGAGAGAAGACGATGAAGCCAAACGATTTCAGAACAGGCAGAAGTCATGGCTTGATATTCTGCCTCGGTAGAAGATTTTGAAACTCGTTCTTGTTTCTTACATTTCCATGACACAAGGGAGCCATTGAGATACATGCACCACCCCGTTGTAGATCGACAAGAATCAGGACAACTTGCCCAGTCAGCATCACTATAAGCTGTAAGTTGGAGAGATGAACCAACTTTATAAAATAACCCACGCTCTGGAGTGCCGAGTAAATAGCGAATGATCCGTTTGACAGCTGCAAGATGAAGATGTCAAGGTTGATGCATAAACTGACTCATCAAATTAAGTGCATAAGAAATATCTGGTCTTGTGATTGTCAAATAAACCAAGCTTCCAACTAGTTGCCTATATGTCGTAGGATCAGAGAGTAGTTGGCCTTCATCTTTTTTATACTTGACATTAATTTCAAGTGGAGTATCTACTGGAGTTGAGTTCTCGAGTCCAGCCAAAGTAATAAGATCTTTGGCATATTTGTGCTGATTAATAAAAATTCCATTACTTGACTGATGCACTTCAAGGCCTAGGAAATACGTGAGGTTTCCAAGATCCTTCATGTGGAAAGAAGAGTGTAAAGAAGCCTGTAGTTGTTGAATGCCTACTGTATCTGTACCAGTGATGATGATGTCGTCCACATGTACAAGGAGAATGGTGATACCAGTTTCACGACGACGAAGAAACATAGAAGGATCATTGGTACTATGATTAAAGCCAAATTGACGAATAGTGTTACCAAACTTTTCAAACCAAGCTCGTGGCGCTTGTTTCAGGCCATAAAGAGAGCGTCATAGATGACACACATCTGATGTGGAATTGCTTGTGACACCAGGTGGAAGTCTCATATAGATTTCTTCGTTCAGATCACCATGTAAGAAGGCGTTTTTTACATCCATTTGAAAAAGAGGCCAAGCTTGAGAAGCTGCAATAGCAAGCACTGCACGAACAGTTGTCATTTTTGCCACAGGAGCAAAAGTCTCTTCATAATTAATCCTATACTCTTGCCAATTCCCGAGAGCGACCAAACGAGCTTTATATCGATCGAAGGAGCCATTAGATCTAAGTTTAACAGAGTAAATCCATTTGCAACCAATTGGTTTGTGACCAAGAGGACAAGGAACAATATCCCAAGTATGATTCCTCTCTAAAGCTTCCAATTCTTCCTTCATAGCTTGTTCCAACATAAATGTTGTACAGCCTGTGAATATGAGTTGGGAATAGATTTTGATGTCAGAGTGGTCATAAGAATTAGGCGATCAGGAGGTTTGATTTGGCGAGTGGATCTTTGAAGAGGAGGCGGTTGTGGACTTAGATCAGGAGATGGAGAGGAGTCACGGTTAGGACCTTCTTCTGCACCAATTGTTGTCTTACCTCGTCGCTTATAAACCAGCCCAGGTTTAAACCTTGTGAAAATAGTAGGATTATTACTACTAAAGTCATGAAGATAAGAAAAGGAGGACGGAGGAGAAGGGACATGAGTGTTTTGAAAGAAATACTGTTTTTCAACAAAGACAACATTACGAGAGGTACGAATGCGACGGACAGAAGGATCATAACACAAAAAACCTTTTTGATGAGATGCATACCCAAGAAATGCACAATGAGCAGATTGTGCAGATAATTTGTTTCGATCTTGTGCAGGTAGATGGACATAACAAACACAACCAAAAACACGCAGTTGGTTATAGTTGGGATTAGCTTGATGGAAGCGAAAATATGGAGATTGATGTTGAAGCTTTGGAGAAGGCAATCTATTGATAAGATGCGCAGCTGTGGAAAGTGCTTCCACCCAAAAATGAGAGGGTACTGATGCATCAAGAAGTAGGGTCCGAGTAACATCCAAAGGATGCCTATTTTTCCTCTCGGGTACTCCTTTTTGTTGAGGAGTAGATGGACAAGTTCGCTGGGAAATGATTCCTTCATTTTGAAGTGAAATTCGTTTTTCATATATTCACCTCCGGAATCGGAACGAAGAATTTTGATGGATGTGGAAAATTGATTTTTTAGGTAAGCCAAAAAAACGCTTAAAGGCATCAAAAACTCCAGATTTAGAATGCAAAAAATAAATCCATGTGTGTCGACTATAATCGTCGATGAAGGAAACAAAATATTTGTGATGAGAATGAGAGGGAAATGGAGCATCCCCCCAAACATCAGTATGAATCAAATCGAAGCATTTTGTAGTAATGTCACCATGAATTGGAAAAGGAAGAGTCTTACTTTTACCCAATTTACAACTACTACAATCAAATGAGACATCATTGAAAGAAACAGGGTCTTTATTAAAAAACAAACCAGATTTCAACAAGAACAACAATCTTTTGGCATTAGGATGCCCCAATCGTTTATGCCACATCTGATATGACGTACTAGAAGAAGGACAAACTAACGAAAATAAAGATTTATTCCTGGGATAGCTAAACAAGCTTTAGAGGAAACAGCCTTCCACATTTAGGTCCCTTCCCGATCACTTTCCCCTACTCCTGATCCTGCACAATACATCCAGATGTAGAAAATGAGACTTTACAGTTGTTATCAACCAATTGACCGACATATATAAGATTAGAGGTCAAACGTGGTGTATGATAAACATTATGTAATGGCAAAGAATGAGGGATATTACCGACTTAATGGGAAGATGTTCTCCATTAGCAGTATGAATTTTCACATTTCCCACATATGGTTTCACATTAGTGACGTGTTGAGGAAGAGGTCATGTGATTGGAAGCACCAGAATCAACATACCAAATAGATAAGGAGGAAGTTTTACCTGTGAGACCAAGAGCATAAAATGCAGAATGAATCATTTGTTGCACTACCTCTGGAGTTATGGAACTAGAAGCAATAAAAGCTTGAGGAGGCTGCATGGTCGTAGCAGCAGAGGGAGAACCCACTGCGGTGGTAGCATTGAAAGCCTGGGATGATCGATTTTGAGGTCGCTAACGGCAATCAACAATCAAATGTCCAGACTTCTTACAGTAGCTGCAGAATTTTTTCTTACACTGATTGGCTATATGCCCATATTCCTTACAGCTATAACATTGTATTTTGCTCAAATCCCTTCCTTTAGTCTGAGCTGCATAAGCTACATCCAGTGGATTAGTGCCAACACCCTTTTGTTCAATTGTAGCTTGAGTCAAACAACGTTGTTCTTCTCGGAGAAGTTCACCAAAGCACATATCCAATGATGGAGAAGGATCTCTAGCCATCAGATTTGAGCGAATAGATTCAAAATCACTTTTTGAAGAGATGGTAGCCCCTCACTTGGGACAGTTGCATAAATTAGTTGCTTATATTCAGCCCAAAGATTCATGAATCCAGAATAATAGTCTTGAATTGACATATTCCCTTGGGAATATTCAGATATGTCCAATTCAAGCTGAAAACGCCTCCCAGAATTTTCTTGATTATAAGCTTTAGCATTGGAATAAGGCCGCAAATTGAGTACAATATTAGAATCTACTGAGCTTAAAATCCAACTAATTATCTTTGCATCATTAGACTCCCATTTAGCTATGCTAGCATTTTCAGTCCCAGCTTTTGGTTCTGGGATTGATCCATCTACATGTCCCCACAATTCTTTCCCTTTAACAAACATACATTCAATTTAATGGGCAAGATTTCTGACTTTTCTGACATTCTAAAAAAAAAACTTCAAAAGAGACTCGAACAAAAGATAAAAGATGAATGAGAACCTGAGATAATGCTAACAGCAATTATTGACTGCAACTCAAACCAAGATTGTTGCTGCAACTCCTTAGAAACAAGACACCATAGTTTTTAACAAAAAAACTGTGATTTATCTTATCAAAAAAAAAACTCAGAACGTCTCTTGTATCAAGCTAGGCTCTGATACCATGACAAGACGAAGAGAACAAAGAGATTTCCGAAGTAAACTTCTGTCTTTCCCTTCGGCAGACTTTCTTGATATAATAATATTTACTATACAAGTAATGCTTACCACAATCATATCCCAAGATTTGGTATCCACAAATAATATTCCTAACTACAAGCAATCTGTAAATCATCTAAATTGGAATGGAATCCCTAATTATAAGTTATCTTACAACTCATCAAATCATCTAATTTTGGTATGTAGATCATCACCTCCTCTGATACCTCTGGTATAGCAACTTCTGTCAGAAATTATTTGAATCCTTTTAACATTTTGTGTTAATTTATCATGTTTATTCCTTCAGTGTATTGAGGGTTTTTATTCAGAACCATGCTCTATTGTGGTGTTATAATTTCTAAATCAGAAGTTCTTAAGTTCTTTTAACAGAAAATTTCTTATTTTTTGTGCTTGGGATTGGTTTTTGTATTACCTACAAAATGAGTTGTTCATTTAATTTTCAGGAAGAAATTAAAGTCACTTTATTTTTCTCTTTGTCAGCAGAAAACTCGAGCCATCTCAAATTGAACCAAATTCGACAATCTGTTGAAGAAAGCTATGCTTCTGTAAATTAGCAGTTTGATGAAGAATTAATGGCCAACAGAGAGTTGATTGTGCATGTGGAAAAGGTGAGAGAAAGGGTCACTATTTTCTTTTTGGTTTTCTTCCTTGTTAGCAGAGATACGAAAGCCTGTTAGCATAGCGATTTGATAGCCACGAATAATGGCATAAAGAATATGCTGTGATTTGATTTAATTTGCTTTCTTGTAATATTAACATGTGTTATTTTTGGTATATAAATACTGGAGCTGTGAATGAGTGTTAAGCCTCATTCAACCCTTTCTCAAATAATATTCAAGCCTTTACACAATTATCTCATTTTTTCTTCTTTTTATATTTCTTCTTGATATTAGAGCCAGGGTGATCCGAACGCAATGAGGGCGTTGCGTGTTCGGCACCACCCATTCGGGAATAGTGTGAGGAGACATTATCGATTATTTTTGGTCTGAGAAGACATTGGTGATTCTTCCATCTACATATGTTAAACATATGTACGAAGGAGGATGTTTTGAGGAGATATTGTTGATTATATATGTTGGTCTCAGATGGAAGAAAAACTGAGAAATGAGAGCTGCAATGTTTAGTTACCTTTGTTTTCTGTTTAATTTATTTTAAATTTTTGAAAAGAACTGATGTGTTGCGGCAAAGATTAGTTGGACTTTTTGGATATTTTTAGGATCTAAGCCCTAGCTCTGTGGCTACACCCATGATTTTGGAATGGTCTTAATTCCCCTGTTTGGACATGATCTCTCCTTTCTGTGAAGTAAAACACTTACTAGGGTTTAAACCAACACTAGACCACATGACAAATTGCAGATATTGAACCCCCACCCATAACACATTACGAAGTGCAAAACCACCTAAAACCACATCCCATTGCTGAATTCCCTTCGGTTACACAGGCAGTCTAACACCGGAATGCTCGCCCATGATTATCTGATTCGGCCAGTTCCACAGCATTTGAAGTCGGCAGCGCAGCAATTCAACTGCTGTTAATAAGACGTACGGTAAGTATATGACTGGGAATATGTGGGGAGGGAAAAGAATTGATGCTAGAGATGCCTCTGCAATCAATCCAAACAACATCATGACACCGCGGACAGCCCAGGTATGAGTTGGAGAAGGACGAGTCGAAGAAAATCTCTGCTCAGCATCGTACGCCCAGCAATACACGAGCAAACTTGTAACAGCAATGAACATGGTTTTGGGGTGCGTTTCAAATGGAGAAGAAGACATCAATTCGAGAAAGTTGAGTAGCACCGGAACAATGAAGGCAAACGTAGTGTGCCGGGAGGTGGGTGGACGACGGTGTTCTCGAGAGATAGAGAAGTAGCATCTCATGTCGATGAATGCAACATTGAACTGTCCAGGGTAGCTTCCCCACTGCCGGTCGAAAGGGTGGTTTGTTCTTGCAATGTCGGCCATCGGAGTATGATCACAAATCTGAAGAAGACATGAATTTTTGAGTTAGAACAAAAAAATTAAAAATCATGAAATGTTAAGAGTAGATCAAGATACAGGGAGAGAGAATTCATTACCAGTGTTTTGGAATGAAGTTTTTTTCTTTCAATGTATGCCTTTTTTATAGGTTGCATTTCCATTGACTAAAGAAACTTCCGAGGTAACAAAAGTTTGGAATTGCTTAGTCATCTTTGCATGCACTTGTTTACAATAAGCGCTCAAAAGGAACATCACGAGACAATTTCTAAAGGGTATAAAGGTCCAAAGGGTTTAAAAGGTTCAAGACTTGGGCACTTTGAATTTTGTTGTCTAAAGGGTAAACTAGACTAGGGCATAAAAATTTTGTTGTCCAAAGTGTCCGCATTTGTTGACATTAGGATATTACAAGTTTTTAAAATAATGATGAAGTTAGCGTAACATTTAAGTACAGTCACAACATACTAGAACTTGTGGGCCTTCTCTCTTCTTTCAACTCGGGGGTTTTCTTGGAAGTTTACAAAAAATTTACCGCGTAGTTTGTGTTTGTAGAGTTGGGGTTTATTTTTGTGAACTTTTAGGGTTGCCTCTTGTTTTTTGATTCATGACGTGGTGCGGTAGTTTTAGAGCACTTTATAATTCACCACCGAGAACATGTTGTTTCATCCCACATGTACTAAGGAATTATTGAGTGGTAACTCTAAGGGTCTGTTTGGTTATATGAAAATAGATGGTGAAAAGTGAAAGTAAAAGAAAGTGAAGTGAAGGAAAAAAAAATTAAGTTTTCATGGTGCATTTGGTTAACATGAAATTTTTTCAAGAAAGTTGTGAGAAAATATTATGTTGTTAGTTTGGATAGAATGAAAGAGAAAAGAAAATGATTGTACTTGTCAAAATTGCCCTTATAATTTTAAAAACTAAAAATATAAATAAATTTGAGTAAAATTAATTCATGCATTAAATTTTGTTGTTGATAATAATATTCTGAATTTGTGTGAGACACCAAGTCACCGGAATTTCTTTACTCAAATATATATATATATATGATTTGGACCTTACAATTTATATAGTAATTGTAAGGATTGTGATGAAGTCGAATAAGATTAGGATTGTTCCACGAGATGTTTGTTTATATTAGAATAACCAAAACCAATAGAATTTTACATATAACAACCAAGTTTATGAGAGTTTTCTTTTTGAATTCAACTAGAATTATATAACTATAAAATATTTTGTATTATTCTTTTTAAGGAACGTATATATTTCGTAAAATTTATAATAACTTTAGTATCAAAATTCTAAAACCTAGTTGATATGTATATACACATATTGAAAATTAATATAATGCACTTAAAAAATATCCACCATAATATGTTATATGTATATACGTATTTGGAAGGGAAAAAAAAAACAGGGAAAACAGAATAAAGCAATAAAAATAGATTAAAAAAAATTTGCGAACTCTCCAATTTCACGATTTCATTTACGTTTGGAAAAAAAATGTTTATAAAAAAGGGACAAAAAGATAAAGGAAACCCAAGTTATCCAACTGATAATTATGGGTGGAATTTAAAATATAACTTAACAACTTTCCCGAGAAATAAAAATTTTCTCATGTTTTATATAGGAATCGTTTTAAAGAAAATTAGTTACTTGCGATAATCCAGTTTTCTTGAAAATTTTATGTTTCATCCTAAACAAACGCACAAAAAATTTAAATATTTTTCGATTCTTTTCTTTTCTTGCTAATTCTACCTAACCAAACGAAGCCTAAAGGTTTCAAATTCCTGACCTCCAAGATGGGAAGAATAATTGTTTCAAAAAGACCATACAACCATGATCGCGAACATATAAATATTTAGAATAATTGTTTCAAAAAGACCATACAACCATGATCGTGAACGTATAAATATTTAGAATAATTGTTTCAAAAAGACCATACAACCATGATCGTGAACATATAAATATTTAGAATAGTAATACTTTGACCGAAGTGTCAAAGTGAATCGCTTTACCTCAAATATGTTTGTTAGATAAGTATGTACGTATAAGTTTGCCAAGTAAAATTAATCGGCTTAAAAATCATTTTCCAAGTGAACTATCATTACATGTTAAGTTAAAAAGTCCTCACTGGATCACATCTTCAATCACAGACAGATGGTAATTAACGAATTTCGTTACAATTCTATCATTAATTATTATCATCATCATCATTTGTGTTATTACTTTAATATTTTACTGTATATGTCAAATAAACAAAATATATAACATACAATATATTACTAACAAATAGTAGACTATATGATATTAAAATTAAAAAATTGCAAAAGATGGCACCAAAAAGTTGTCTTGTCAACACAGAGAGTATTTGTCTGCCAAAATCTATGGGTTTTTTTGGAGGGACCCACCTCATATAACATCCCAACCTAATCGGTGCAAAATCAACTCGAGTCTTGCAGTAACTAATTTCCAATCCTAATCGGTGCAAAATCAACTCGAGTCTTGCAGTAACTAATCTGCCAAAATCTGTAGGGTTCTTTTGGAGGGACCCACCTCATATAACATCCCAATTTTCATCGGTGCAAAATCAAAATAAGCGGATGTGAATGCACATCAATTAAAAATATTGACTAATTAATTTTTTATTATTGTTTTTAAAATTATATTTATATGTATAAAAAAACTTTAAATATTGTTTTTAAAATACTGTATAAATTATTTTAAGAAAGAAGGTGGGTCCGATTTAATATTATTTAACTCTCAATTGTGTAATCTAAGCCGTCTTCCTCCCTCTCCTTAGTCTTTGATATTTTATTTTAGGTTCCAGTGAAATTTCTTTGATTATCATCAAATTTATTCCTTTATTTGAACAATTGTTGGTTCATTTCAAATTCATATTATTTACCTGGTTTAACTTGAATTCATGTGATAACAGTCAATTTTCTTCACTTTATCTAAAAATTGTTAGTTTATTGATTCATAATTTGTTACTCAAATTAAAAAAGATGCTCGGCCTGCATTGGTGTTCTTATCTCTATCTCTTCGTGTCTGTTCCTGATCCTTCTCCTACTCAATTACGTACTGCAATTACTCTCTTCAGTAGAATTTTGCTGGGATTTTATGTATAACATAAGTATGAAATAAAGTACGTACTGCTTGGGATAAAACCTACGTATTGCTTGTGATGTTAAGTAGATTATAATTTGAACTAGTATTTCTCCGATTAGAGTCAAAGACTATAATCTAGTATGATTATGGTGATTATAATTTGAACTAATGTTTCTCCGATTAGAGTTAATGACTATCATACAGTAGGATTATAGTGTTTTTCCAATTAGAGTCAATGATTATCATCCAGTAAGATTATGTTGGAATGTTGCGTACAACTTATATTGACTTAAATTACAAACTACTTGGATGTTATGTACAAATAATCCAGTAAGATTATGTTGGGATGTTGCGTACAACTTATATTGACTTAAATTACAAACTTCTTGGATGTTATGTACAAATAATCCATAAGGATTATGTTGGGATGTTGCGTACAACTTATATTGACTTAAATTACAAACTGCCATGAATGTTATGCAGTACACAATCTAGAACATATTCGAAATTGCTTAGCAAATCTTTGTATATATTTTAAACCTAAACAATTTACACATGACCCTCAAATATGGGAATACATTGTACTCTGGAACTCACTCTTTCATCTTATCACATTCCTTTTTCGACCACAAATATAGTTTGCAAATCCTCTGATTTTTTCTCCTCACAAACAACTTTTAAAATCTACAAATAAGTGCACAATAAAACCCTCCCAGTCCAGAAGAAATTCTAAAGAGACCTTTGGACATTTTTGCATCTACTTTAAACCAAATAAATTTACGCATTAACTAAATAATTAAAATAGAGCATTAATTTACTATTTTTGGGTTTCTTCCACTTACGTCCATTCCTTTTTAGTAATTATTTTTCTTCTTCTGTCATTCATTTCTTATGGAAATTAGAGGATTTCCTTCCAAAAAAACATATGAAGCATGAAAATCGTACTTGTGGTGCCTCTCTCCTCCGGTATTCATCTTTAAATTTGAACAAAAATGACCTACTATACGAAGAAATAAGATGACATTTATGGAAACACAGGTAAGGAGAAATAGAGTCATGCTTCTATTTGGAAACAAATCAAAATCTGAATATTTTGGGAGAGAAGAAAGGCTGAATGGACCGGATTTGTAATTTCAAATGGGTTGCTGCAAATTCATAAGAGAGGGAAGGAGAATATGTATTTCTCAACAGTGTATATATATATATATATATATATAGAAAATTGCATATAAAACTAATACAGATTTTACCTTCCTTAATTAATATTGTTCATTTACTCCAATTGAGAAAATAGGACATTATGCAACTAGAGAGGATGCTGATCCATCTCTATCTTGCCTATATAATAATGTTCACCACCTCTCCCCCGAAACCCCTTGACTTTTCTTCTTATTCCTTAGTGTTTTGTCCTTTCTATGACAAAGTGCCCTACAAATCAAGGGTAAGTTGTCCTTAAAGTGAAGACTGTTGGGGATTGTTCATGTTCATGTTTCGCATTCGCGTTATCGGTTACGATAGTGATGTAACGAACTCACACAAATATCGGTGTAAACCGTTTGAATCGGCTAATTCATGAAGGTGTATAACAGTATCAGATCTTTGAAAAAAGGTTACGAACCGATCAATACGTCACGTATCAGTCAATATGACGAATCATGGTTCACACTAGAGTGGACACTGAGGCATGGAGAGGGCAGGAAACAAGGTGCACCCTCACCATGTGTAGCCTGCAAGCTTCTAAGGAGAAGGTGTGCTCAAGGTTGTGTCGAATTTTTCCACCACTACAAAAAAAAACTTTTTTTTTGGAAAGTTAAAAAGAACCAACGAGCCAAGTGGTCTAGTGGTACCAAATCTCTTACTTCTCAAAGGAGGTAAGGGGTTCGAACCTCAGTGGGGGCATGTGTATGTGAGTACCAACTAGGAAAAAAAAGAAGAAGTTATAAAGACAAATCTTTCTATGTGTAGTTTGAAAAATGTTTTATTACCGCCAAGGGTTATTAGTATAATGGTATCTCTTTTACTTTTAAATAGAAAGTTGAGGATCACGTTTCACTTGCGGATCACATTTCACTTGCTGAGGGTAAAAAAATACAATGTTGCTTATTTTAAGAATATTATATAAAACACATTATTATAAAATTTCTAACCAATCATTTTTTAATGGGAATTTAAAGTGCTTGACTATTTGACATACATAACTGAGTTTCAATTATTAAAATAAAATTGAATTCATGTAAGCAATTTGCATTTGCGGTTCATATTCATGTCATGTCGACCTAATAGTATTATATTATATAGAATAATTCGAACATGACTCGTTTAATAATCATGTTGAAAACTCGACACGAACATGACCCGTTTATTAAATGAATTGTATAACTCATAAGATGACCCGTTTAATAACCTATTTAATCCATTTAAATTGAATGACTCGTGTAACTTGTTTATTAACTTAAGTATAAAGTGCAAATATGATAATAAAAAAAATGACATAGTGGATGACTAAATTCATGAAAATATTGATAATTGGGACAATACAATTACAAAAAAAGAACAAATACCATATCCATATTGGATTTATATTGAAATTATAAAAATGTCCAGAGTTAAAATAGGTTATAGTTACTCGGGTTGAATTGACATGATTAATTAAACGAGTCTAATTGGATTGAGCTCCAAAATACTAACGGGAAACAATTACTATGGGTTGGCACGATAATGACACAAACACGATTAAGGTTAACCCAAACTCATTAACTTCGTGTCATGTTAGCGGGTCATGTCTAATTTTATCACCTCTAACTCCAATGATGGGAACCTATCCTTCCAAAGCCAGATAGCTCGCAATTGCATTACCCAGTTGTATTTCTTGCTCATGCCCCTCCATTTTTCCTATATTCTTTTCCATTTTGATTTGGCTTTTTAATAAGTGATGCTTAGACCCAAGTGTAGTAAATTACTTTACTTCAAACATTTTATTAGTCATGTTTACTATATATCAAAATGTGAAAAGTCCCACTTTTTTAATATTTTGAATACATGGCCAATTAAAAGTTATGGGCCAAACAAATCTCTTTAACTGATGATCCTAAAAATCATTTTCCAGTGGACGACCATTACATGTTGAGTTGGAAAGTCCTCACTGGATCACACCTTCAATGGTAATGATATTTTCTTTTTGGATTTTTTACTCAAATATTATATTGATTTCTCCTATTAGACATTTTTGTTAGACTGTTTTAAGAGAATTGAATGTGATTTTTTGCTCAAAATCATTATAATAATAATAAAAATAAAAATAATTTTAGTAAAGTTCATATTTTAAAATTTAATTTTAAAAAGTTAAGCAGATTTCATGGTTCGACTTCGTTTACTATTAATGTATCAGAAAAATCTGTTGAACGGTAAAATAAATTACCAACCGTCGAATCAACTAACTGTTCCTTGTGTTTTGCTTTTCTTTTGTAGATATTATTCTCGAATACTCCTTAAGTTGGATAGTGGAGAGTGAATATATATATATATATATATATATATATATATATATATATATATATATATTTCCGACAATAGTAGTAGTGTCGGGCCTTTTAGAAAACCTCAATGCAGTCGGATTCTCTCATCAGCATACTCACTGATTTTTTTTCCCAGCTTTTTTTCATTATCAGGTAATATCATTATTAGTTTTTCTTCTTTGGATTGTTTTCATACACTGACAAACAATTATAAATTAAAACCGAAAAAATAAAAATTTAAAAGTTTGAACTAGCACAATAATTTCAATAGCCAAAAGATTTGATGCTGTCAAACACAACATAATATATCAAAATAGACCAAACTCTTAACAGAACACTTGGTCACCAACCAAAATCTTTGTACTATAAGTGAAGAAGCTTCAGTTTGGCTGCTATGAATTGTGATTCTTTCACAGAATAAAATGGTGAGAGTGCGTGAATGAACTACAAGAAGACAGGACCATGGTCCTGGAAATTTTAAATATACAAACTTCAATTACACATATGAACAGTTGCTAGTATAATGTCGATGAAAGACATCGTATAATATATAGACGCCTTCCCGAGTGACCACCCGATGAACGACAGAAAGAAGTGTCTGCAAATTCTCCGGTGATGGCATCATCTATTCACTGTAATCACACACCTAAACTCGAGTGGAAGCCGAACAAAGATATGAAGCGGCATACAAACAATTCGTTGCCTACATGTTCTTTAGCCTCCTGCAAAACAACATGATCCTCTAATTCAGCTGGAGATGAGATGATCAATATAACATATTTTTCTTTTCAATCAGAAAAATCAGGTGGTGAATTCTATATATGTTAGTCCCACTCGCGACAATTCTACATCCATAGAAAAAGGAAAAAGAAAAAAAACCAGAAACTTGGACAAGCTTGAACCAATTAGGACAAGGTGCGCAGAAGTTCCAATTTGATATGGAACTGAAAATGAATGAGTCGACAAAGCAAGTTATTCTACTCAGCCCGGTATGCAAATTTCGAGAAAAGCTTGAAAAGCCAGTCATGTCAGTGCTTTATTACTTTTTAAAGGTCTTGTGAAAACAGAGCATGTAAAAATCTGTGCAAAAACCAGGAATAAGCAAAAATTTTCAAAAGAATCCAACAAAATAATACTCTTGTGAAGGGTAATGCAACTCAACTGTGTTCTTTCCCGGCTATTTAGGATCGCTACCATGATTTTTATTTTTGCATTTATGTTGTATCTGATTAGGCAATGACTTCAATTGAACCACAGGCGAACATATTTTTTCTTACCATCTCAACCCACATTCAGTCTTCCCTTCCCGTTGTACTGGCCCACACTATCCTTCTTCACTGAGGGAAGAAGCATTTAATAAAAATGGAGAAACATATATTCTGATCCAAGTATAGTATATTCCCAGTTTCTCTAGTTGATTTGTTATTTTAGGATATTCTCTTTCTACCTTACCCAAGCATTCACCCTCCATATTTTTCTCTCAATCATGTATCTTTGAGCACGGTTCTCGAATTCAAAGTTCTCTATCCAAATTCCTTCCTTTCCATCTCTGCTTCTCACGGGAATTTTATCGAACATAATCATGGTGCATTTCAAGTCTGTAACCTTTCCAACTGTACATCAATGGATTTACTACGACTGTTCATCTATTCTTTCACTGTTTTGGCTATGTAAATATTTTCATTCAATAAGACTAAATTGGGGGTTATGCTGAATTAGAAAGTGAAAAGGATTTCCGACATCTAGTAGTAAGTTAAAATCGCAACATTCTGCTTGGTGCAATGGTCAAAGCTTTGTGTTCAACAGTGTGAGAAAGGAGAGTTTCGTATTTTAGTATAAATAAGAAGCTAGAGATCAGGTTGGTACCTTTTCTGCCTCACCTAGCACCCCAAACTGAAGGCCACCACGGGAAATGGTCTTAGTGATGAGGAGATTACGTGAAAATGATCTGAATAAAAGCAGGAAGATAAACAAAAGAACTGTAAATTACGCCAAAGCGGTCCTTTATTGTCTTCGATCAATCATATACACTGTTAGAAGAAATTAGAGCAGACACTACAGAACTAGACTAGGATGGATGAAGAGAAGTATAAAAGTGATTGGGAAATACCAATCAAATTTGAGGAAAACGTAATACAGCCAGCCAAATATTAGGCACGGAATATCAAATGAACAAATTCACATTGCCATGATTTAAGCAGCTGAATTAGAGATATTGAGGTGTCCAAGAAAGGAAATGTTGGGATTAGAATTTAAAGTAGTTATATGTTAAGAGGAAATACCCGGGACAGTATTGGAGAGTCAACTAAGATTATTTTGTACCAATACTATAAACTGCACTAATACAAAGCAATTTGGTTAACTTCAAATAAGCAAATAAACTCTAAAGAAGAGCCAAGTCCATTGTGGACACACTTGGACATCCAAACTTCGAGGAAATTCCAGATACATCTCTGACCATCTTATACGTGTTCTCAACTGAAAAATAAAATTGCTAATTTTGAAAGTGGCCTGTACTTCTCCGGTTCTCATCAATTTTTTCTTTGGTTAGGTAAGCAACACACACAGCCCACGCTACCCCCCATGTGGGGCTCAAACCGCTCCTCCCGTTTGGGGAGAAAATAATAGCCCAGTAGTATGAGAGCCAAAACGCTTACATGCCGAGATATGACTTCTATTAGCATGAAATAAATTACATTTTAAACTGAAAGTAATACCACTAGAAGGCTTTACCAAAAGGGTGCACATGGAGGAGTCATTGTAATTAGGGGTGCATGTACGTATACATATCTACAATTGTACACATGCAAGCCTACCACAATGTAGGTGACTATAGGTTGTCATGATACATGAGTTACAAAATATTAGTTTTACTTAGATGTGGGTTGGATATATATTAAAATATATTGCTTCTTTGTCGCAGTCTCATTGTGACTATATCCTTATTCTGTAGGATTTGCCTGGTCGGCATGTCTGTGTTCTGTTGATGTCCATGTTTCATAGATTAAACTTGAAGGCATCACAAAGACAAGAAGAAAACCAGCACAAAATTAAGGATCAAGGCTTTGGAGGGGAAAAAAATAACACCAACAGGATTGCTGGGTTGGCTATTGCCACTAGGTGATAACCAAGAGGTCTCACATTTGACTTCTGGACTTACCTGATGCCCATGACTAAGGAATGGTTGTGTCCATCTGTAGGGAATTGTCCCACTTCCTCTGTCAGGAGAACAAAATAGGGCAGAATAGCCTTTGATTGATGAGACCCCAAACAGAGCCTAATGGCAATTTTCAAGTGACTAATCCCAAGGAGCTGAACAAGGCCCTATCCAGTTGAGTGAAACTCATATTTGATTAAAAAATTGTAACTCGAAAAATTGGGATTTCAGGGTGGTTAATATTACTATTAACTCGGAAGGACTTGATCATCATCATTTTAATCACTATTTCTCTAGAAAGACTTGAAATGAAACCATCAACCTTGTTGTCATAATCACATCATCATCATTGTCATTAACAGCATGTATATATTGAGATGAATTGCTATGAGTTAATTCTATTCACAAACTAGATAGTACAACCAAGCTTTGACTAGATGAAACGGAACCAATAATTTTGCTCAACCTGCCCAGCCTTATAGCTTCATTCAAAGATTGGTAAAAAAAAATTACATGAGAGGGACATTATTAGAAAAATTACCTCTAATCAACAGGCAGAAGTGCAATCTCAATTTCTTGGAGTGATTTTCCTTTCGTTTCCATCACATTCCTCTTCACAAAAACCACAGCTATCAAGCAAAAGGTAGCGAAGATTGTGTAGAGAACTTGTGCCCCAAGTTGCTCCAGCAGGCGCAGAAACAACAAACCGACAAAAAAATTTATCACCTGTTGAAGATGCCAATTTCTATAAAGCAGGGAAGAATCAGAAGTTCAAGATATTGAGAAAGAAACAAAATTCATCCAAACCCTAGGCATGAAGATTTTATATTATTCCAATTAACAAGAATCATAGTATAGCAATCAGTATGTAAGTATAAAAGCACCTGGCATTAAGAGCAACTGTAGCGTACATTACTCCCTGCTGTAAGTATAATTCTCCAATTTACAGTAAAACGTGTATGTGATAAAAATATCACAATTCTGCTTCTTATAAGGTCAACTCCCTACCACCAAGTTTATAAGCATGAACAAATTCAACTACTAAGTTCAAAGTTGTGGTTCATAGTTTGAGAAGTGATAATCGGAATTCAACATTGAACAGAAATTCAAAGGTAGAAGACTTTATTTTCAAGAAACCTTCTAAAAGTTGGACTTAGATTGCCATTCGCACATTGAAAGAAGGAAAAAAATGAAATACCAATACCAGTGACAGAATAAACTGCATAACACAATTATCCACTTACCCAGTGCACTGCCATGCAGATTGCCATTGCCTTTGCTCTTATTCGGTTAGGGAATATTTCTGATAGGAGGAGACTAGGGACTGGTCCAGCGCCTAGGGCAAATGTGAAGACAAACCTGCATAAACAACTTCAATAAGAAAAATATACCACCATAACCTCAAGATAAGAAACTATCTGTAGAAGTTTGTCTCCCTTAGCTCTCTTCCACAGTTACAGTCACAAAGGTGGTTTAAGCAATGAGATACAGTAGCCTACCTTGGTTTATTTCCACAATACAATTTCCAACAACTTATGACGTTCTTCCATAACCATTTTACGCAAACATTATTCAAGAGATAGATAATCCTCCTAAGAGGTGAACAATTACTTGCTCTATTTGACATAGAAATTTATCATTTTTCCATTTTGAAATACCTTATTCATCCGATTTTGCATTATTTCTTTGAGTGGGCAGCCTCCCTCAATACCTTAAACAATGCCTCAGTCAAAGCAAATTCATGATGAAAAAAATTCCATGCTATCAATGACTTAAGAACTCTTTATTCCCCCCGCTATTCCTATTATTATTTGTTTAAAGTTTGTGGAGGGGTCATAGGGACCCCACAGCATCATGTTTATGGACTAATGGTGCATTATAGATTGTGAAGAGTAAGTTGCATTTGTGTTTAGTAACTACAAAATGACTAAATGAGCCATTTAGATTGTGAAGAGTAAGTTGCATTTATTACTCACATCAGCATGCCACCAACGGATAGGTACAACTCTCCAGAGCCTGATAACAAAGAACTTGCTGCAGTTACCTGGAAACCCATTGACACTGCCTGGACCAATGAAATGAATAAAGAAAGCATCATGTATAAATGTCAGAAAGTTGAACATGCCATATTGCAGGATTTGATGAACCATCCGAATAATTAAATGTGATTATCAGCAAAACAGCAATGCAACTTCAGCAAGAGGTGCATAACTGACTATTTTGTTGAGTCACCACTTGGTTTCATACTAAACAATACCAATTTGAAATTTCTTATGTTCACCAATCACAACTTTCCACCTCACTCTAAATTAGACTAATGGGAGCAATATGCCATTAGAGTAATTAAATATTCCCAAATTTCTAATGAAATTTCAACTTAAAATGGGAAGAATCAACAAATGACCCAAGAAAAAAAGAAGAGGCTGCCTCCATGCTCACCCATCAAATTAGTTGAGCCAGCCCACCTATTTTAGTTTTGTTTAGTCAGGAAAAAAGCATGTCACCCATCTAAAGATTATCAACACGGCCGCCCCTTCCCCCTCCCCCCCCCCCCCCCCCCCCCGCGCGTTAAGTCATCTAGAGTTAAATTATATCTTTCTATCTGGTTCATTTCTGCTCCAGAAGTATTTTCCAAATCGAATACATTTTATTGAGAAAAAAAATGTTCAAGAGATATCAATGTGTTGTTTGCAGAATATAGTATTCTCAACTGCCAAGTGCCAATTACTGGGAAAAGGTCTTTACCATGCCCAAGAAACTCCCAAGAAGAAGCACCTTCCTTCCCAGTCTATCCATCAAAATCATCGCAATAATTGAGCCTACCAAAGCAATATTTCAGTAAACTAATGGTTAAGAAGAGTTTAAAATGTGCAAGTGTATTGGGAGGGCTATAGCCATATTACCTGATAAATTTGCAATTCCTACACATATGTTTGCTTTGTCTGGAGGGACTCCTGCGCTCTTAAATACAGTTGAAGAGAAATAGAATACAGCATTTATACCAGATAGTTGTTGTAAAGCAAATAGGATAGAGCCAATAAAAACCACTGAAAAACAAAGTACAAATAAACACAGCATTCAAAGTGGAAACAAACATATATGGTGAGGAACGGAAATAGTTTGAAACTATAAATATATATATATACCTTTTTTATGACGACCATAGAATAACTCCGAAGTTTTTACATTATCCGCCTCATCCACTCTGTCTGACTTTGACGATTCTATTTCTACCATTGCAGATTTGACATGCGATCCTCCTAAAAGCTTCTCAAATTCAGCTTCAGTTTCAGCAATTCTTCCTCTCTGAGCCAGGTGAAGAGATAATTATAAGTAAAAACAGCATTTTATGGGTCAACAGGATAGTGAAATGCTGAAGACCATTCAGGAATAATAATGCACGAAATTGGAATCCTTGACATGGTTGATCACAAGTATGATACAAATTTTCAACATTTGGAAACAAGGGATCACAGCATCTCCGGGTGGTAATATATATAATACACAGAGCAGGTCAGACCATCAGAGATCAGATGAAAATAAGAAACCAAAATAAGCATGGGAACACTGGATGAAATGGTGTTCTATTAATGCCCAAAGTAAGCCAGGAAAATGATGGTGCTCAGATTTTTTTTATTTTTCTTTAGCAAGTATAACGAGGCATCAAAGATTTTATGAAATTACATATAAGTTGATTGGAGGATTGAAATAATTAAAGATGGAAACAATGAAGAAAAATTCCAGAATAAGTTTATTAATGGGATCCCTCCTAATCATTCCATTCGGCTAGTTCCGCCCTAATGGAAGCATTTATGCATGTTGCATTGTACAATTGGAAAGCACAAAGGAAACTTTATTCATTGACAGCCGTCTGAGATAAACATGATAATGCCATGTTGCTATATGGTGTTACTGATGGTGTACACCATCCTGATATGACCTAACCGAAGAATACAAAATATTGAACTGACTAAACATGTGATTGTTCAGATCCAAATCCAGATTATTAGATTGAATCACTAATCCAAATCACACTTAAATCTACCTAGATTCAGATCAGAGCAAATAAGTATATAATAGTTTTATGCATTACTTGCACGTGTCATGTTTACTTTAAGACAAGAACATGGTAATTTTTTAGAATGTTGGGCATGAATGTATAAAACTATAATAAGGAAGTAAAACATTAGGCTGTTAGTCAAAAAGTATTAATACCGAGATTTTTATTTGGATATCTCTAGAATGGTACCAACTTGAATCTGTCGGCAGTTGTATGCATAAGAGAAACAGATACTGAATCCCAAGAAACACTAACAACTGACAAAGGAGAGCAGATTACCTTAAAAAGCCAATGAGGACTCTCTGCACAGAACCCGATTAAAACAGCTAGTACTACAGCAGGAATGACAGATACCCAGAAACAAACCCGCCACCTGTGCACATCATCAAGACACAAAAAGTTACTTCTAATCCATTCATCTAAGCCACTGCTTTAAGTAGTTCTGAAAGAGTACGGCTATCAAGAGACCTCTCACATGACAAGAGTCATGAGCTCCCTTTATTAATCACTAAATTGAGACACTTTTTGAGATATGTGAAAAATCAAATGAATCTTTCAATAAATATCTCAATCCAATGATCAATAAGGAGAGCTCATGACAAGAGTCATGAGAGGGTTCTCTTGATAGCCTCTTCTGAAAATATCAGAATAAACTAAGATATTTATAAAAATTCTAAAGTGTTGTGGCTCCATGTCATGCTTATTACCAACCCACAGTATCCTTGGCTGGGATTCCAATTAATAGAGCCCCTATAAGTCCAAGACATGTTGCTATTTGAGTGAAGCTTCCATAAGTACCCCTAGCAAAAGCCGGTGAAACCTGCACATAAAGGCGATTTATGGCCACATGTTAAAATGTTCAACAATTGGCCTAAGCAATATCAACTAATCGATATAGAGAAAGCAGTAACCCTCATTGTCTATACCTCTGCCACATAGAGAGCTGCAACAGGAGGGCCAAGACCCATTCCAGTTCCAACAAAAAACCTCCCAAGAAGCATACCACCCAGAGTATTTGTTGTGGCACTGCAAGTTCAGGTTTAAGTATCCTTTTGGTAAGTTTGATATTATGGATATCTTTCAAAAAGCAAAGAAGCAAGATAATGAACATGAAACTCAGAACTTTGCCGGCTTTGTAGGAGATGGTGCTGATTAGATTGATAATTTATATCACCATTTATTTTGTAAGTATACAACACAATGTGAATATATATATATATATATATATACATATTTTTGATAAGTAACACAATGTGAATATATATAATCGTTTATATTGTTTTTGAGCTTACATTCAACATGTACCAGATAAAAATAACAGAGAATCTAGATCAAGTACACTATGAATTGTATGAGGATAATAAATAAACCTTCAAGACAATTTATAACTCATTCTCCGGAATCTGTATAGTTTCTACTATCTCAAGCATGTGTAACACTAACCACTCATTCATGTTATATGCATTAGCACTCATGGTTAACAACTTAATCTTTTTTGGTAGATAGTTACCAACTTATTCTGTTACATAGTTTTTAAAAAATATATATTATAATAATAATAAAGGGGGAAAAAGAGAAAAAAGAAATCAATGAGAAGTCCATAGAACAGCATATATACATACTAGCCATTCTCTAAGAAAGATCAAATAATGGATGATATGAAGGTCTTGCAACTCCGTCAATGTACAAGTCTAGAGAGTTTAAAGACCACCATGTAAGTTTGAGCCAAAGTATCATATATTCTTCAATCTTATCGTGTGAAAATGAGCGACACAGAAATTAATTTGTCTATTAAAACTGATATTCAGCATGAAATGGTGAATTTCATAGAATTTGACTCATCAAAACTTTGAACAAAGCCAACTAATAGAAGAAGCACACGATTGATGTATAGTGACTGATTTTATTTACACCGTTATGCAGTTAAAAAATAAATAAATAATGATAAGCTTCTAGCTTATGCATTTACCAAGCTTCTAGCTTGTGCAAAGGAAAACACTAGTTTATGTAACACATTCAAAAACCTACAATGTGACACCATATCTCCCAAGACATGTTAATGAGAGCAATCCATGAATTGATGAGACCTACTGATATTTAATTAATACTAAACCAATCTTTGAGAGAATCCAGAAGTAACTTCATTAAATCAACTTGTTAGTTATATGAGTCATGTGTTGGCAACAAATTCCTACTCAAAACTTTGATCGTAATGTGGGTCAGTTTGTGAATCGCTTGGCTACAACCTCAATGGATGATGGAGATTGAGGTCAGCTAAGAACACACCAGGAATCTCTTAAGACCCAATCACATGCCCATGTTAAGGTAAGTAAAGATCATAGTGACAAATTATGACCTAGATTTGATCATACAAGCATGAAAATTATGTTTTAATCATGTTTATCAAAATTAGGTTTTTAATAAACTAATTTTCATAACAAGAATTTTAACAAAATAAAGAGCATCAACCGAATAGCCAATCGATCGAGTTTTTTCTCAAAAAATATTTTAAAATCCAAAAGGCCTCAATTGATAGCTCAATCTATCGAGGCTTATTCAGTGGTGCTCGATCGATTGAACCTTACAGACACACTTTTACAGTGGAATACAAGCATCAAATATAAACCCCACCTGATATTGACTACGAAAGTAAATGATAAAGAACTTATATAGCATGTGAACCGACTTTCCAGTGAAGAGGTAAAAATGGAAAGAAGTTTGCAACAGCTTCCCGATTGCAAGATCTCCCTAAAAGGTCATATTTTAAGTAATGAAAGAGAACAGACGTTTACAAGTTTTGAATCAAAGAAAATCATCAAATAAATAAGAAATTTCCTGTTAAAGTGATGAAACTGAACATATTACCATGAAATATTAGTAGGTGACAGACAATTAGATTGGATAAGAAAATAACATATGCGTTATATTGCAATTACCTTATTGAAGCCCCAAAAATCATTGGTAAAGCACACAATTGGAATGCCCTTCGGCGCCCAACTCCATCCGCAATCCAACCACTGAATAATGATCCCACAAAGGCACCCCCTAAGCATGTACTAACGACTAGACCTTCATTTGACAGAAAGTATCTTGTTACATGAAAATTCACACAAGAGTAATAGAAACATTTGGTAAGATGAAAGGTCAGATAAAGTACCTTCAGCAAGCGTACTCCCGCTAAAGCCAAGGTCTGTAGAAATACTTTCAAGTGTGTCATTAACCACCCTATATAAAAAGAAAACAAACAACAATTTTATATTATAATTCATTTCAAAGCTGATAGATTTGGAGAAGAAGAATAAGGAATAGCGAGTTTCATGGATTTGGAGCACACCCAAGGTGGTAGCCAAATAAAAGCGATGAAATAATTGCCACAAGTATATGCGGCAGAGGACGTTTCCACGAGGGGTTTCCAGCTTCTTTCCCAAAACCATTCTGCCATCGCCCTGAGGCCCATCAAAGGAGTCAGTTGAACTAGCAAATGTCATCAGTATCAACATAAACTACTTTAGAAGGAACAACCGCAAAAGAAATGAAAAGTTTTGTTCTTTTTTTTTTTTGAACCCTCAGCTTTTCTACTTTGAGATGTAGAGGAAATGTCACTATGCTACAAAAATGCTTAAAAAGCCAAAAGCATACATATACGCATGTGTGAGCAATTGCCAGATCTCATTGAACTTAATTTTTTATTTATTTTTTTATTATATAATTTTTGCTCAGCAACAGTTAGAATTTTACTATATTCTAGTAGGAGGACATCATGAAGTGTCACATAAAAATATTGCTTATAAGCAGAACTCATGTGCAAGGAAATCAATATATAAATATTTTTTAAAAAAGATTCCAGAAAACACAAATTCCTAATTTCCTGTGATTGGAGATATGAACACAATCAAACAAAGAACATAAGCAGTGTAGAAGTACCTAAATTTTCTTCTTTATCATGGCCATTCAAAGAATTTACACGCTTGTAAGTGGAGTAAGCATCTCGTAGACGACCTCGCATACTCGATCACAATTGAAAAATCTGCAATCTGCACCAGATCGAGCAAACAATCACTCAATTATATCACTTGCTTCCTAAATCAATCTATCATCATCTAGATCAATCAATCATCGTGCAAAACGATGTCAATAAACAACTGCAATGAACAATTACACATCCCATGGAAGTAATGTCAGATTTTAGATCTGATTCAAGAAAATCTCTACATTCACAATAAAAAAAATTTACTTCAAATTCTTCCGGTCAAATATATCAAATAAGAATACTGACACATACACTGTAAATGACCTCAAATTCAAGAGTTTATCAAAATGAAAAGAAATATTAAAAGCTTTGGCTCTTAATCAGCTATATATATATATATATATATATATATATATGCTTTTAGAGAGCGAGAGCGCGCGCGGAAGCTTAATAGAGAATGGAAACTCTGTACTTGCTTGTAATCAAATGAAGAACTACAAGTACATAGATACATACGGATGGACAACCACACACTTATATACGTATACATATACGTAACAGGTGAAATGTTGAGAGCTAGAGAGAGAAAGAAGAGAGAGAAAGTGATGAATCTAAAGTTCATTACCTGGTCGGAGGCTTTGAATTCTGCAATGCAGACGAGAACAAATCTGAAACTACAGAAGAAAACAGAGTGAGCGAGCGAGCGAGTGCTAAGCGGCCGATTATAACATGCGCCGGGGGTGTCAGAGTGAGTGAAGTCACCGTCGAGTCCGACTGAAGAAAAGGAAATCGATGCGAAATCCACGAAACCGTTTAATGTAAAAGGGAAGGAGATGGGGCGAATGCTAACGTGCGCCGGTGATTATGATTTTTTTTTTTCTTTTTTTCGCATTCACATTTGTTTATGGAAGAAGCGAAGTGTGTAAGAGTCTACAACTCCGAGACGAACACCTGTAACGTTTAATCTGTTAATGGGGTGTTGTATTCGGGTTTGATATCTGCTGCTTCGCGGTCGAATGATATTTCCTACACTTGGTTTCATTTCTTGACACCTCAACACTCTAACCAAACCTACGAGAGTTGCTATCAATGGGGTGCATGGCATGGTTCAAGTTCCACGACTTGTATTTTTCAGTTTATATTGACTGTATTTGAGTTCGTACATTGTGATCGGATGCGTGACCAATACTGCAAACCTCTTCCATGAGGTCAATTTTAATGATTGACAAGGTAAATTCTATACTTTATTTTATATTGACTTAATTGGAAACAAACTCTTTTTGTTCAAAAAATATAAATAAATAAATAAATAATAAAATGATTAGTGAAAGTATGAATCTATATATTTTTTTTGTTAGCAGTTTCAAATTCGTGTTATTTTTCTTGTTCACTTTACATTTTTACAAACGGATTCATTCGGAAATGTTTTTATAGGTTTTATTTGTCAACTTATTTGATTAATTTGTATATTTTTAAAGTAATTTTTTTAATATAGACAAAAAGAGAAAAAATAACAAAATTTGTCCTTATAAAATCCAAATCATAATATAACTCAGAATTCAAAGTCTCTTGTATCTTCATTTGGGAGATCTATTAAATGAGTGACTATGGTCACAATGTACCGCGTCTTCATCGACGTAGATTAATAATAAATGTATATGGCATATTTAATTACCAAATTACACATTATCATTGATTTGGTAATAAAATAAAAAATAAAATTTATTCTTATAGAATCCGGGATACATACACCATCTCTCATTTTGGTAATGAAAAAATAACATAATTTATCCTTACAGAATTCAAATCCTAATATAACCCAATGATTTGAAGTCAAATCTCCTTATATATCTTTGTTTGAGAGATCTTTTATTACCAAATTAGAAATGGTCTCTGAGTTGGTTATGAAAGAAAATGTACTCCTTTGTATTGCTTGGTCCGCATCAACGGACTTAAGTATTGTCCATCTTCTAATAATTAAAATTAGAAATTACAATTTTTTTTTTTTATGTGATCTCTTTTTCATAAATAAGGACCATAATTTACATAATTTATTTAAAACTTTTTATAATTATATTTTTATTTGGTATTTTTAAATTACTGTTAAATTTAAAGAGATAATCCAACAATAACATACAAGTGAAGTGTGTATATATATATATATATATATATATATATATATATATAATGAAAAATATTAGTAAAAAATGAAAATTATAAATAGAGAAAAAAACTAGTCAATTTGTTTGATTTGTTAAAATAAAAAATAATAAAGTGTAAACTGTGTGTATTATGTATTTAAATATAGGACATTCATATAATCATATTTTGAATCGTTAATTTGTCAATAATGGACATTCATATAATTCTATTTAGTCAATTTGTTTAATTTTTATATAATCCTATTTTAAATGGTTAAATGGACATCTTAAATGTTTTTTTTCCATGATCACGAATATACTCCGGACGCAAACACAAAAATCCACTCCGAATTTCACAAGCATGAAAATACGTACAAGTGTGAAGATTTTGCAGAACGAAATTACTTTCCAAGGATACTAAATGTGACAATGTAGCATTGGTAATACGTGTACCATTAAATGTAAAGGGTACAGATTTAATGATTTTTTTTTCCCACTCAAATTGAATTAAACCCGACAGAGTTACGATGACAAAGGATGTCGGTTATCAAGATATTCAGGCTTTCACCTTACTAATTCACAAGACTCGTGTAAGATGATTCACTGCATGAGTTATATAAGATTCAGACTATGCCTATGATCATGAATTGTGATTTCAAAAAATTACTCGCACATATGAAAAATCGAACTTGAAGCTTCGTGAGGGTAAAGGACCCAAGTCTTTGCTATTAGGCCAAAGGGTAATTTTTAATTTTTAAGTCTTAACCTAAATATTTAATATGTTCGATTGCATGAAATTGGAGTCTTAAAAATTATACTGATAAAATTGAAAAAAAATTAGTTCAATTTAAAATGTAAAATGAAATTGACTAACTGTACAAAGGAAAAATTACCAACATATGATGACAAAATGAAATCATGAGAAGTATAATATATATATATGTTTGGTTTAAGTTTCTAAAAATTGTTTTATGAAAATTTGGTTATAAAAAGATTTGTTTTTAAAGAATTATTTTTAAAGAGTTCTTGATAAGTGTTTTCAAAGTTACAAACTAAGTAGGTTTTTGTATTTTACCTCCCATTTTTAAAGATTTTTCTTGAGAACTGCATGTGAGTGGTGAGGGTTATGGGGGTGTTTTAAAAGGTTCGATACCACCGTTGCATACCAAGAAAAGAAAAGAAAAATTATTTTACATATATATTTTTTTATCTTGGTCAATAACACACTCATTTTGGCTATATGATGATTAAATCCTTGACCACATATTTTGAAAGACTCGAGTTTGAAAACTTGAATAAGGAGAAAATTTTTTGTTTCCCAAATAATTATTTTAGAAAATGATTATTTAATTCAATCACAACCCCTTAAAAAGAAATAGGAGTAAGAAGTAGGAATGACAACAGGGAGGGTACGACATCTATTTGTCTAAATTCATATCTTTTTGGTTTAATTATGAACAATCTCATACTCGTAGTGGGTTTAAAACTCACAATTCATACCCGCCCATTGAGAGATAAGTGTACCCGTATCCACCCCTGTCTCGCCCTATTTAAGTTTTTGTACTTTTGTCTTTTGGGATTTAAGCAAAAGGGATAAATAACAAAGAGCATTGCAAAATAATAATAATAATAATAACAACAACAACAACAAAGAGCATAACAGATAGCAAAAGTTATAACTTATATAAAAATCTAAAAAAATAAATGGCGGGGTCCGCCTAGTAAGCCGCGACAGGTTTAAAATTTTATTCTATACCCATTTTTACAATACATAAATAATTTTTATACTCATGCCATTAGAGATGGGAAGGGGCAGGACACCGGCGGGACAAAACAAATTGCCTCCGTAGTAAAAAGTAAACAATTGAATAATTTTATTTGCTGCAGTTTATATATTACGGTGTACTATAATGTAATTCATATATTAATTCATTAAGATCAAGGGCCTTGTGGCTCAATAGTATTTTTTCTATCTTTTAAAGTGAATGATGAAAATTTTATTCTCCAAAAGAGTAAAATGGGTGTGTGAATTTCTTGCTAATAATAAATATATATATATTATATACTAATTCATGATATAATAATAATATTCATTTTTTTAAGATAAATTATATTGGCTTTTCATTTGAACAAATTATATAGGGATGGTGTAACGAGTGGACATTTGTCCATTTATCTCAAAAACCTTTGTTAATTGTTCAACGTTTATTCTAAACCCGTTGATAGATAATTAAAAGGTGACTTTAAATGTAAAAATATTAAATTCACATAATAATAAAATTTAAAAATTAATAACTAAAAAATATAATACGTAATAATATATTATATTTTATAAAAAATTAAAAATATATATTTAATCAACAAACATAGTACTTACAAAAATCATGAAAAATATCATAAAAATCTAATGACTTCCCATTTGTTTAGGTGGGAAGGAGAGAGACAGATGTCATGTTGTCTAGGTAGATAGAGAGAATTTAACGTTTCTCTTGCGCGAAAGCAATTAAATTGAGGTAATCAATTGATGACAGCTGTGGGATCGGTGGTCAGAATCACATGGATTATAGTTGTAGTATTTGAGGGGAGCACATGCACACGAGCATACCCAATTAACATCACCAGAATATATTATTTGACCATAATGCCCCCAAGATCTTCTCAATTTGTTGGCCGATCAAATCAATCATTTTTTTTCCGACCAAAAATTAAGAAATAAAATCAATCTTTTTCACACACATTTTATTGAAATCTTTTTCAAATCAACTTCATATTATTATTAGGGGCGCATCTATGTGACTTATAATGGATTTTTTTTATTTTTATTTTTATTATTATTTTTTTATGATAGGCTAACACTATTATTTCATTGGTGCATTAAAAGAACAGACAAGATCCTATTTATTTATTTATTTAAATAAATTTTACTGCACAATTATACTTGAGCCAAAAACTTAAGATGATATTTTTAAAATTAGTAGAGTAATATTTAGAAAAATCAAAATATGTAAGAGGAAGAAAAAGGGAAGGAGGAGAGAACATCGTCTCACCTTTTCTTACCATTTTTAACCTTTCAAAAAATAAATTTCTTTTATTATGAAAAAATTACGATGATTAATTTAAAGGTTACAATGATAAATTTATTAAAATAGTTTTCTCACGTTCACACTATTTTTTTTTTTTTTTTAATTATTATTTTTATTTATTTTATTCATTACTAATGTTATATTTGATTGAATGGTCTCTGTTGTCAAGCTTAAATGCGAAGAAGAAAAAAAAAAAAAAAAAAAAAAAAAAAAAAAAAAAACCCTATTACTACTACTTTTTCCTTTTCCTGCTTTTCTAGTGACTAGAAAAGCAGGAAAAGGAAAAAGTAGTAGTAATAGGTTTTTTTTCCCCTTCGCATTTAAGCTTGACAACAGAGACCATTCAATCAAGAAGAGCAGCTATTGTTCTTTTTTCTTTAAAAAAATTTATTTATTATGATAATAAAAGTTAATTTCCCTCCCAGTTTATTATATATATATATATATATATATATATACTGTTCCAAAATATTTGTTCCTCAAAATGAGATAAATTAATAGTTTTCATAAATGGCCCGCTACGGTTGGCGGGTACTGAATTAGAGTTTTAAAATTGAAATTGATAGAATTAGTTCTGCTGCTGCAGTCTAAACATGTAGCTCTTAGTGTGAGTCACCGGACCTGAATGAAAAAGACCGTGACTCAGATATGTCACCAAATAACACTCCTATATTTACGAGTATCAAATCCATATTTTGAATTTAAAATTAAAAAAAATTTAGTTCAAAATTTAAGTTAAATTTTTTCCAATTTCAAATCACTAATTCATTTCCATGCTCCCAAGCGCAATCTGTTGCGCAATCTCAACTGGATAGCACACAAATATCTCATAATTTCCCAGTATCAAACTGTTGACTAGAAAAGCAGGAAAAGAATAAGTGGGTAAAGATATTTTGTACGTATACAAAAAACAAGATCTTTAAACACGGGCTTAGATTTGGAAGTAGAAAATAAAATCTAAGAAAAAACTTGTTTGTTTTGTTGTTTTTTCTTATACATAAAAAGACTTTCGGTACTGTCAAACGTATCATTAACTTTTCAAGATATTTAGAAAAATAAACTTTTCAAGATTTCTCAACTTGACAATAAATTAATATTTTCATAAATACCCTTCTATTACTTTTCAAGATATTTAGGAAAATTAACTTTTCAAGATTTCTCAACTTGACAATAAATTAATATTTTCATAAATACCCTTATATTTGGAAGCATCAAATCAGTACTTAATCATCAATTCAGTACTGGCAATACTACACACAAATACCTCATAACTTGAAATTTTACTATTGCCAGAGTAGTGAATTCAAATGAAAATTACATACAATTAGTCTTTAAAATTTATCAGACATTTTTATTTTATTTTTTATTCAGAAACCAAAAAAAAAAAAAAACCACACTTCTTGCTCACGCCCGATCTTGAACCCCTCCCTTCTGTTTGAGGATGGGGAGGTTATACATTAGACTACATGCCCATTAAAAATTTACCAGATCACAATTCTAAGTCACACAATTCTTTTTTCAACAGGTATCACTCTCACACTCCGAGTGTGCTCCCACTCTCATGTTACGTGCACGCTCTCGCTCAAATTCTTATTATTTATGACTTTATTCCACCGCTCTCACGTTTCCGTTCTCGAATTCGCTCTCGCTCTATGTGATTTAGAATTAGATCATTTTGGCCGAAAGAATGAAAATAAATCTCTCATTAATCAAGAACTTTATTTCAGAAAATACATCCACAATAATGATGAACTAAATTACAGAAAATTGCATTTATGCTCCACACTTAAGAGGGGTTAAGTTCGTCCAAAATAATCATGAATTAAATTACATAAAATTTAGCATCAGATCCACCATATACAGGTAGTTTGAAAATTCGTTCACAATAATGATAAACTAAATTAGGGAAAGGAAAATAATTTTCACCGAATATGAATTGCTAGACCTACTCTTTTAATCGGTCAATTATGCAATAAATAAGGAAGTGAAACCCTTCACTTAGTTGTATTTGGTATAAATAATCAATTAAAAATTATTAAGTTACACAATTCACTGCAAGTGTTTGGTGTGAGTATCATTACTCTACAGAAAATTGCATTTATGCTCCACACTTTCACTTAATTGTATTTGGTATAAATAACCAATTAAAAATTATTAGGTTACACAATTCACCGCAAGTGTTTGGTGTGAGTATTACTACTCTACATAAAATTGCATTTATGCTCCACACACTTAAGAGGGCTAAGTTAATCATGAACTAAATTACAGAAAATTCACCATCAGATCCACTATATATAGGTTCTTATGCCCTTTAGTAATGCCTTTCTAATGTTGTGACCAACACTTTTGATTGAACTTGATCAACAAAAATTTTCTTGGGGACATCAACCAATTGATGCATTCCTTATTGGTCTTCATCGATATTAAGATTTATCCCACTGTTCAAACAAACCAAAGCAAAAAAATCAGACAGCACTACTAACAGCATGAAAAAGACGAGAAAGTTGGTACATTCTTTAGAATATCGTTACTAAATATGAATAAAAGTTGCTAAATATGAATAAAAGAAATATACAACCGCAATACAAAGTCAATTTATGTTCGGTGGACATGACTAATTGTTCCAAGTGTGGGTATATGTAAGCGTCGGTTTTATTAAATTCCCAAACAAAGGAGACAAGAAGACGGCTAAATATCCATATGTTTGGTGCTTATTATTCTCTCACTTAGGAAGACGTGGTGTATTATGCAGCACAAAGTATTCCACATGGAGACTTCACTTGCTTTGAACTAACCACATCATAGAGGACCATGATTAAAGAATTTCGTATGCATTTTAGCATGGTTAATCTAAATTACAGGATATGTTTGTGGGTCTTTTAGAACCAGACACGTCATAAATGCAAGGCGCGTCTAACACGAGTCTTCATGCATTTAGAAGAGATTATGTAACATAGAAGACAATGAAATTTTTTATGATTGAATCTGTCAGCAGATTGAAGTATCCCAACAAAATTAACAAGTGCCCAAGCTTTTGTAGTCACAAGCTGAACTTGCTAGTCAATTTTAAAGGAAAAAGAAAAAAGGATGAGACCGAAGGCAGCAGGGAAGGAACAAAGAAAGAGAATTCAGAGTGAGAAATTTGCCCATGCACTCTGGGCATTGACTAATCACTATGCCATTTTTGTTAAAATTGGCAACTATTGGATTTTAAAAATGTGTGTCCATGCAAGAGCGCATGCGCATGTGTGTGTGTGTGTGAGTGAGTGAGAGAGAGAGAGAGAGAGAGAGAGAGAGAGAGAGAGAGAGAGGTCACAATGTTTTGAACAGATTTAACAATACTCAAGGAGGTTGAAGAATCGGATCTCTCACCCATTGCCTTTGCACGCAACAGCAACATGACTTTGTCTCTCTGCAATGGAAAATATAATGAACCCAAGAAGGAAAATTGAAACCTAAAAGCATGAAGTTCTACAGTAAATTAGATAGAATGAGCCCCAGTCCCTCACTTCAAATATTCTATACAAGGAAACTAGTAGGAAAACCACAGCACTAGTTATGCCCATACGAACTATATTCCCTCATGCTGAATTTTCACACTCCAGTGATTTTCATAATTAGTTTTCTAACAAGGACATTAGACTCCATTCGGAGCCTTCAACTTTTCGGAACAGTACATAGATTGAATCAAAATTTTGAATGTCAGAGAAACTTCCACTAGTAAAATCTACATCCAGAGGGAAGAAGTCAAGCAGAAATCAAGGTCTTAAGCTTAATTTACAGGTATCCCATCTTACTTTCATAGAATAAGTACTCTACTCAGATGATTATGATTTCACAAACCTACATGAATCTAAAGTCGGCCAATGAGTCACATAAAGCAGCTGCATTTAACTACAAAAATAAAAAGACCAAAATTGGAAACCAGGAAAAAAAAAAAAAAACTTTACTAAAGCATTAGAATTCTACACACAGAATTCAACAAAAAAACTGAAAAGACATGCCATATGGAAACAGACATTCAACAAGCAACACACAATGAAGCTTCACAATAATAAACATTGAATCAGAATTGTAATTGGTTATATCAAAGTCAATCAGGCATACCTCCAAGGAGAGAGAGGAGAGACTGCAAATTTTGAAGAGTTCTCAAAAGGGGTTTTCAGCCATTGACGGAATAGTGGTGGAGGAAGGTTTGCAACTATTGAAGCGATGTGTATCTCAACTAAATCTGAAGGAAAAACAGGGCAAAAAAGACAAGAAAAAAAGTTTGAATTTTTTTAAATTGGTTTTCTCACTTTAAGAACCCAGAAACAATGTCAATAGATCAGAGCAAGCAAAGAACGTGGATTTTGACTGAAGGGTGTTCTGAAAAGAGCGAGGATTTACCTTGTTGGCATAATAACAAGGATCAGTATCCCTTTGTATTAGAATTCATTGCTTTTGCTCCACTCAGTTTTGTTTATAACTGCTCCTTCTCAAAACTTTCCGGTTTTTTCCCAAATTCTGAACTCTTCCAGGTGACAAATAATTTTTAACCCCAAGTTTACTTTCGTTTTTGTTCCCTTCACCAATAATCACCACAAGAGCACATGCCATCTTTGAAATGATGATATCGGTTGACATCTCTTATGGTGATTTCCCTCTGCGTAATTTTTGAGATAAACTTGATCGCAACATGGCAGTCCTCACAAATTCGGAGGTTTTTGGTCACCAAAAGCTTGGTTCCAGGAGGCGTACTTATGAGTCCAAATGCAATTGCTAGCCTTTCACTATGACTGCAAACCATTTTGGTCTTCTCATCATCCTCCACATCATGGAAAACAGGTGTAGTATCTGGAACATAGCCAGCCTCTGCCATTAGCTCTCCCAACCTTTCTAACTCACCATATATCTCATCAGACATAGGATGAGAAGTATCTCCAGAAAGAAATGCATGGACTTTGTTTTTCACTTCAATCCAGCTGCAAGCAATGCTTTTCTTCAGTCCACGATCAGTCATTAGTTTTCTCATCTTTGCAACTCCTTCCCATTTCCCTGCTTGAGCATAAATGTTCGATAAAATCACGTAATTACCAGAATCATCAGGTTCAAGCTCAATCAACCTCTCTAGTGCCTGTTCCCCTAATTCCACATTTGCATGGATTTTACATGAATTAAGCAAAGCACCCCAGACACCAGCATCTGGCATCACTGTCATCTTCATTATGAGATTGTAAGCCTCGTCTAATCGACCACAATGGCCAAGGAGATCAACCATGCATGTATAATGCTGAACACTTGGTTCTATATGGTAATCTCTCTTCATTGATTCAAAGAAATTTTGCCCTTCTTTGAGCAAACCTCCATGGTTGCAAGCTGACAGAACGCCCACAAAAGTTATATGATCTGGCTGAGCTTCTACAGTCATCTGCTCAAACAAGTCAAGTGCTTCAGCAGCATGACCATGCATAGCATACCCAGTGATCATAGCATTCCAAGAAACAATTCTTTTCTCCCTAAGCTTTTCAAACAAATTCCGAGCAACCTTTACATAACCACTCTTGGCATACATATCTACCAGGGCAGTTTTCACTTTGTCATGGGATCCAAACCCATGTCTCCAACCAAACCCGTGAAGCTCCCTGCCTTGTGGAATGGCAGCTATGTCAGCAGAAGCGGAGATAGCAGTGACAAGAGTAGCATCAGTGGGTCTGAAACCAGCTGACGCCAGCTCACCACATAGCGACAAGCATTCCTCGGGGTGCCCATTTTGGGAGTATGCAGCAAGCATAGAATTCCATACGACAACATCTCTACCCAGAATCTTATCAAACACTTGACGGGAACTACCAACACAACCACATTTTGAATACATATCAATAAGTGCAGCACCCACAAAGACATCCGTTTCCCACCCAGTACGCTTCACATGCTCATGAATGTCCCTCCCCACTTCAATTGCAGAGAGTGCCGAGCACGCCTTAAGGACAAATGGTAACGTAAAATTATCAGGAACAAGGCCATGATCAAGCATTCGGTAGTAGAGCGAGATGGCAACCTCATAAGGCCCATTCCACGCATACCCACGAATCAAAATATTCCAAAGGAAGATATTGCCTTTGGGAATTCTATCAAACAGAAGGTGTGCATCTGATAAATAGTCGCAGAGAGAGTACAAATTGACGAGTTTGGTGGCTAAATTGGTATTTAATCCAAGTCCAGTAAGGCAGAGTTGGGCGTGAAGCTGCCTTCCAGGCTTGATTGCCCTTTGAGCGATACAAGATTGGAGGAGAGACACGTAGTTGAAGTACGAAAAATGGGTTGGTTGGGCATGAAATTCAGGAGAAGAAGGAATGGTGTTAGGCATTGCTGATGCAAGAGAGTGATATGGGGAATGGTAATGGTAGTGAATAGTACATGATGAATCCAAGAAAGTGGTAGAGTTGATAAGAGAGGTCAGTAGCATATATGGAGAAAGAGAGCCTTTCTTTATCTTTGCTGTCATTTGGAGAAGCATTTGAAAATTCAGAGCGTAGAGAAGATATACACTTTTTAAATAATTGCATAGACAAAAGGTCAACTTTGTTGCGAGTGATTCTCTTAGTGTCCGAATAGTAACCAGATCATTTTTTGTTTTGCTGTCACTCAAAAGAAAAATCCACGATTCTCATTTCTTAGAGCTGAAACAGAAAACAAAATCATGTTCAGTAATGCCTACTATTTCCAAAAACTAAAGATACGAGAAGAAAGAGAGAGAAAGAGACATGAGGATGAGAGAGAAAGAGAGCTTTTACTCTGAGAGGGGGGAGAAAGGAGAGATGAAGATGACAGAGTACTTACACAACTGTAAGTTGTCGGTCGTCGATGAGTGGCGGGTGGTGTCATCTCCGTCGTCGGCAGGCGATCGCCGACCGGGTGGGATGAGAATGAGATTGTGGCAGAGAGAGAAAGTGGAGAGAGAGGATCGTTAGGGCGTCTAAACGTTTTAGTAGTGGGAAGCTACACTGAATTTGTGTAGCAATTTCCGGCTGCAGTAAAAAACAAAAAGCAAGGAAGATTTTCTTGTTTTCCTTTTCCGTTTTTAACATGTTAGGTTGGTAAAATTAAGTAACAAGAATTGTTTTTAAAATATGAAAAGCAAAAAAAATATTATACTATCTTCGTGTCGAAAGAGTGTCATGTTTACTAAACTGTGACATTCTTTTAGTGGAAATATTAAACATGATTTTTATTTTTTCTATTTTTTTGGATATTGACAACAAAAAGAAGAACACATAAACCCACAAACATATTGTCTGGCAAATTGCAAACGAAACTCGAACTCTCCAAACCATAGAGAGAGAGGAATAATAAACTTTTGAACCCTATTATTTGAAGAGGTAATAATATCACACACAATAAAAAAATGAAAATGCCATTTGGCTATTATTTTCGTGGTGGCTTGCTTAATATTTTGTGCATAGGTTTTTTTTTTTTTTGGTGGTAATACTCAATTTGTGGCTAAGTCATATGGAGTCGGAGCGGGAGTATGAAAGTAATAAAATCTAAATCACATGTAGTAAAATCAGGAACAAGAGCGAAAGCATGCACATAATATAAGAGTGACACTTCATGTCTAAAGTTTCTCCACCATTTTTAATGTATTAGCATCCACAATTGGGCGTGGGAGAAATGACATTGATTAGTATTTTTAATGTTTTATAAATATAGAGTAAATATTGAACAAGAAATATGAAACACAGGAGATAAAAAAAAACAAAGACACAATGAACTTTCTATTACTTCTTCTCTTTTCAGTATCCTAAATTTAACACAATTCATGTATATTTATAGGCAGATTCTCACTCTCACTTTACAGCTTTTTTCCCCCCATTTTTTATTTACTGCCCACGCCCATACACACAATCATATTTTAATCATAATTTTCTTCTTCTGACATCTATCAAAACATATAATTGGTACAAAGTAATTGATGATGGCCACATATAATTTACTTTCACAACAAAATGTCAAATATTTAAAAATTTCAGACCCAACACCGCCTTAGGTAACGAAGCCAGTATCAACCCCAAGCCCAAGTGACCACAGACATTTGACACAGCTTGATGTCAATGGGTGCCTTTTTTTTTTTGTCATCTGACAAGAGAACTGCCATACGGCATCTACATAGGCAAGAACAGTAAACCATACATACAACAAAGAAACACATTCGAAGCCAAAATGCACAAAACTATCCGAAGCAAAACTAACACGCACTAATGTCAAGATCACAGCCTTGACAACAACCTATATCTAGAAGTTGTATCTACATGGGCAAGAACAGTAAACCATATATACAACAAAGAAACACATTCGAAGCCAAAATGCACAAAACTATCCAAAGCAAAACTAACACGCACTAATGTGAAGATCACAGCCTTGACAACAACCTATATCTAGAAGGTGCTAGCATAGCCAAGGACCGGACCCACTAGGAAGGAAAATAGAACATCGAAAATATCGGCCCAAAACGTCAGCCATGATGTCATAGGACAGTTGGAGACGACCGAGCACAACATCACAAGCACCAGAGACGTCGGACTCCGGCATAGTGCTCAGATGCAGCAGATCTACTCCCCATTGCAAATCGCTTCACAAAAAGAAGCTCCATAAAGGATCATCCAAACAGATCCATCTTCGGCAACCCAAAAACCATCCATTTGCTGAGACGGCTCAAAACATGTGATCGAAAAACACAAACTCTCGATTAAACGAGAGAGACTCTGATAACAGAGATCCTCGACGACGTCGAGGAGACAAAACGGCACATCCCCACTCCCAGAGAAAGGAGCAGGAGTGTGCTTGGTAGAGATCACTTTGACCAAAAGAGTGACAATACATCAGTTATTCACACACTCACACACACAAAACAATTAACCTTGATGACTTCATTTAAAATCCTGATGTGAACCAAATAAATCAATCCTTCCAACAGCAAGTATAACCTAGACTTTCACCATGCTGATTTAGTGTAGATAAAATGACACGCGCATATATGTATATAGGTTAGGCCACAGTGAGTGTACTATATATATAGTACACTCACTGTGGCCTAACCTTCAACCTTATAGCACCTCCTTGTTTTCCTAACAATCACTTCTTTTTAACCCAGAAGTCATTTGTGAGCTTTCCCTGAAATAACCCAAAACATTTTCTGCATTCCTTTCGCTCAGAAAATATTTTCTGTATCCTTCATCTGATGGCCTTTTAACCCTAAAAATTCATAAAGCACACCAAAGCAAATCTAAAGGAAACCATAGAATGCAAGAAAAGAAAATAAGAGTAGAAAATGTTCAACGGAAAACTAAAAAGGAAATAGAATAAAATTGGTAAATCAAATTATCAATCCATCTGGAACTGGAACCACAGAACAAAGGGACTACTAGTTAAATACTTTGTCATGGTATATTACAGAGCTGACATTGTCCATTGCATAAATGCAGGTTACATTTTTTTTCAATGCTACAACAATAAAAATTGTAGACAAATATAATATTACAATACAATCTTATCCGACTGCATATTACTGGCCCAAAATATCTGATATGAACTTCTTGCCGGTCTGAAATAGCTCCTCTCTGTGCAGCAAAAAGAAAACAGATAATATATGCAAGCCTGAGCAATTTCCAACTTCCAATGTAAAAAAGCTGTACTATTATATTAATACAACTAGGTGGCAAACAGATTTGCGTGTTGGTACACAGATGGGAAGGGTTCCGTCTTCAGATACAGAGAGGAGGTGGTTACCACGATTACATTCAGAGGCATAAATCACAATTCTTAAGTTAAGGATGATTGAGAGGTTAAGCCGAAAAAAATAACAAAAATAACTCTTCCTTCTAGTATTATATTATGCTTGATTTAGCTGGATCGAGATTGTCATTGTTTTACGGGAACTATGCTTTTTAATTCAATGATGAGCACGAACATAATTTCTCTCCCAACAGAGAAGAAAAGTGCAGCTGGCAGCAAGGTGCTCTAATTGCTATCAGGAGACTCAAGAGACCATCTGTTTGGGACTCGTAAGTTTTCTCATACTGCTTGGCATTGGCTTGGCGTAATACTGGGTTGGGATGCAGCTCAATTTAGGGAGGTTCAAAACTATTGGGGCATAGATGTATTTTCATTGCCATGATTTGGGGCATTTGGCAGGAGAGGAATGCAAGGATGCATGGTGATGCTGTGAGAGACCTTGAGGTTGTAGCTAGACAGATCGTGTTTGAGTTTCTTGATATCCATGGTTCCTCTATGATATTCTGTAATTTTTTTGGCAAGTCTTTGGCTTGTACTGGAAATGGGCATTCTCAATTGTTTTCTCTTGCCCAGCTGTTTTTCTTTTTGAGGGTATGCCCTCCTGTAATTCTTTTTCTATTTTCTTAATACATCACCAATTGTGAAGAAAAAAAAAAAAACCAAAAAAAAATACTTACCGAGCATGTTTGAATAAGAGATAGCGATATATGAACCACTGAAACAGAAAGACTTCCGAGTTAATATGTGAACAAAGAAATAGTGTGCATGAAAAATATACTATATGTAAGATACTCATTTGACTCCTGAGATGTGATAACAGACAGAAAAGGAAAATTGATTTCTTATTCCTATTTGGCGCTCCAAAGAAGTTTTAGTAATTCAACAATGAAAGTTTTCTCATTTATTTCCTCCATCTTTCTAGCAATTAACTCGAGCATAAACATGTAACAATACTTACCGAAGAAAACAATATCCCGACTAATTCAAATACGCTTGGGATAAGAGGAAGTTTGTCAATTTCCTATTCATATGATAAAGAAAAAAATAAAAAATATCAGAACATTCATCGATCGTATGGAAATGCAGGTAAAAATAAAAAATGAAATCATCAAATATAACCAACATGATAAAAAATATAAAGAGGAACATGTTAATGACAAAAAAAGGAAAAAAATGGAAAAAAAAAAACTTTGCTTTAGTTCCAAATGAAGAGGGCTAAGTTTGTCCACCACAATGATGAACTAAATGATAGGGAATTCACCAGCAGATCCATTATATATAGGTTCTAATCCCCTTTTAGCTCCTTTTGATTTAACTTGTTCCCCAAAAATTTATGGACGTCGCACATTAATCCTTCTTTCTTCTACTGTAAGAGAGTTTGAGTTTGTTATTTCTTTTATTCATTAAGGGCACTATTGTATTTTTATCCTTTCAATATCTAAACAGGTGAGGTGTGCAAAAACTCATTCTCATCCCAGAATTCCTCTCTCTTCTTCTTTCTTCCTCTCCCTCTTCCTTGCTACTTCTACAAACACAAGATCCTTCAACTTTAACTTGGAATCAGAGCCAAATCAAAGCCTAGAACTCAGTCACATCCAGTTGCCGAACACCATAGTCCAACACTGACGTCAGCACCTACTGGTCGAGGACCATACCATTTGGATCGCTTGAATTTTACGTAATTATGGTGTTATTTGTTTTGCATTTTGAAGCTGTTTGGATGTAGTTTTCATTTCTCAAAATATTTTCGGAATTTTGGCCCAAGGTTTTTTTACCTGAATTTTGGAGCATTTTTTTATTTTGTTTTTGTGTTGAAATCTCTCCTAAAGGATTCATCTACCATAAAGGAACTTCTTGGTTGTTGTTTTTCTGATTCATTGCTTTTGGATTGAACTTTTTGCCCAAATTTTGGTTCAGCTGCTTTTTTTAGACTAATTTGTTGTGTTTTGGATTGAATCTGCAACTGAGACTTGTTTGGATACTTGGGCTGTTGAGGTTTATTGGTCTTGTTGCTGTTGGTGTAACACCCAAGTTTGACCCACATTCATATACATATTATTTTTTGCATTTTTAGGCCAACAACAATGAAAGAGTGACCTTTTAGTTCTATTTTGGTGAAACTCCCTATCATTTGAAACACCCATATGTTACATAGCTATCAAATGATGGTATTACAAAAATTGGGTAAAGTTAAAAAGTGAGCTTTTAGTTTGACCAATGTTAGTATGTAATGTAAAGAAAGTCCAAAATCTTGGGCAACACATTTTCATAGTTTCCTTATCTAAGGGTGAATAATGAGCAAGGTGATGACGTGGCACACATCAAGCAATGGTAACATGGTTGGTGTTTTGGAGAGAAATTCACTATAAATATCCAACCAAGGCTATAAGCAAGAGGACCCCAAAAAACCAACATTATGCTTCTCTTTCTTATCTCCTTTAGGCCACTGGCCTTTTTTATTTTCTCCTAGCAATAGTTCATAGTGTAGTTTTATAACTCATCTTCTATTTAGTTTATTAGCTTTCATGTAAACGTATCATAGTCGTTATCTTACTCTTTAGTATTAGTTGATTATCAATGTTTCCACTTTTATTTCCCATGCTCTAGTTTATGTCACATTCTAGTTTGTACTTTGTATTTTCATTAGATGCTAATGAAATATCACTTTGTTTTAACAATAAGATGTATTCATTCAATTTGCCACCATTATTTTCTCAATTCATTTTACTCTTCGCATCATCTTCATCAACCATTTGAGAAAAATTTAAGTCCTTGTTACCAAGGCAATGCTAACCCAGTAGGAGGTGTTTTCCCCGCCTCCTCACAGTCGCCTAACTAATTTTCAGGACTAATCCAACATGGGGAATATGGTTCGGCTCATACCCTGAGTTCGGGTCAAGGACTCTGGCACGCCCGCACTTCTCAAGAGCCGAAAATTGTGCAAACAATTTTTGGCACGCCCTGTGGGACTTCTATAGGGTTGAAAGATGATTTAGAAGCCGTTGTCACGGCTCTACAAAATGTTAGTGCCTCCTTAGCAAACCAAGGAGCCGTTTTACAAGATTTAAAAGTTAATTTAGCAAAAAGTTTAAATGGTTTTGCAGAAAATCAAAAAAGTATTTTTCAAGATTTGGGAGCGGATTTTGAAAGAATGCTTCAACTCTCTGATTCCCCAAAAGGTCACGATTATCACATAGTTGAGCATGGCCACAAATATGATCACTTTGTTGGCCAAGATAGCTTGAATCAGATTCTCGGATGCAATAACCGAGAAGGTGATGTTTATAAGGACATGGGGGGCAAGAAGTGATCCGGGTGGTTACAGCTGAAGAAACGACACCACTTCCATGCCCCAAAATTTTTAAAGTTAGACATTGTGGTAAACACCACCGGAGGAAAATCTGCCTTAAAAGAGTATCAATTAATTTTACTAAAATGGCGGCGAGTAGAAAGTTTGACACAAAAACTTGTAGGTCTATGGACGAGTGGTTGAGTTTTTCCTTCTTAGATGTGAAATTTTATTTTCATATTTCACATCCTTACTGGATTGTTGGAGCTCACCAACTATTAAGTTTGTTAGTTTGGCTGGCATGTGAGCCGGGAGGATCTACCAGTTTTTATATTGGCTGAATATTTTATGGTTCTTCCTTGGCCATTAAGACAACCACAATATTCAGATACTCTGGCACTCGGTATCTAAATGATGCATATCATAACATCTTATATTTCATATTGATTAGTCCAATACAGTAAGTAATGAAAATTATTAATTATATTATAAATAAAATTAGCCAATTTTTCGAGTCAAGTTGATTCAGATTATTCCAACGTTTGATTATTTATTTGTTTGTCGCACAAAAAAACTTTTTGAATTTTCGGTAGAAAGGGATTTCGCCAGTCATCTAGACTCATATTTAGTATCTATATTGATGTTACATTGTGCTACTAAAGACCAAAATTTTGATTTGGTCAATGCTGCCATACAGATTGCAATATTCAAGCTAGCATTTAGTGGCAAAATTTTAGTATTAGAAGTGTCAAAAATTTTGGCCGAAAACTGGAATTTGCTACCAGATTCTTTTACTCATTTCGGCTTGTATTACCTTAAATTGGCTATACAATGGCCTTGAACATGAGAATCAGCCTAAATAACTCTTCAAAAATTTGGTATGAACCTATTTTCAAAGAGTTGGTGGGCAGTTGTTAACACCCAAATTTGATCCACAATCATATACATATTATTTTTTTGCATTTTTAGGCCAACAACAATGAAAGGGTGACCTTTTAGTTCTATTTTGGTGAAACTCCCTATCATTTTTGTAGAAATGAAGGTTTGTATATAATGAGAATAGAGATACAGAGAGAAGGAGAGATAACAAGAGAGAGAGAGACTAAATTGCTCAGCCCATTTTCTCATTTCTTTAACCCTAAAACATAAAGGGAGTTATAGACAATACAATAAAGGCCTAATTACATAATGGCCACAAACCCTATATCTAATTACAATAAGACCCCAGCATAAATACATATATACATATAAGTGTTTTAACACTCCTTCTCAAGCTGGAGAATTTATATCATATAATCCCAGCTTGGAACAAATTACTTTTAACCGATTATGACCAAGAGCCTTAGTAAACATATCAGCTAATTGATCTTCAGACTTCACGAATGGAGTAGAAATGTTTCCACTCAATATTTTCTTTCGAGTGAAGTGACAATCAACTTCAATGTGCTTGGTTCTTTCATGAAAAACCGGATTGGATGCGATGTGAATAGTTGCTTGGTTATCACAGAACAGTGGAATAGGAGTCTTGACTATTAACCCAAGTTCTTCAAGAAAATGTTGTATCCACGTTAACTCACTAGAGGTATGGGCCATCGCCCTGTACTCTGCTTCAGCGCTAGACCGTGCTACAACTTTTTGCTTCTTACTTTTCCATGTAACAAGGTTTCCACCAATAAGTGTACAATAGCCTGTAGTAGATTTCTTATCTGAGGGAGAACTAGCCTAGTCAGCATCTGTGAAACCTGTCACATTAAGATGGCCATTAGATTTATATAGTAATCCAAAACCTGGAGCTTGTTTGAGATATCGAATAATTCGAAGAACAGCATTCCAATGTGGTACTCTCGGAACACTTATGAACTGACTTACAATACTAACTGCATATGAAATGTCAGGTCGGGTGATAGTGAGATAAATTAGTTTCCCAACTAGGCGTCGATATCTGCCATGATCGTCAAATAAATCACCCTCATCAGGTAATAATTTTATATTTGGGTCCATAAGAGCATCAGCAGGGCGAGTACCTAACATACCTTTTTCTTTTAACAAGTCCAACACATATTTTCTTTGAGATAGACTTATACCTTCCTTGGATCTAGTAACCTCAATACCCAAGAAATATTTGAGTTTGCCTAGATCCTTTGTGTGAAACCGATTCTGTAAGAACAATTTTAACTTTGCAATGCCGTTAGAATTATCACTTGTTATAACAATATCATCTACATATACCACAAGAAATATAAAGCCAGTTTTAGTATGTTGGTAAAATACCGAATGATCTGTCTCGCATTTGTTAAGGCCAAAGGAAAGTACCGCCTCGGAGAATTTTCCAAACCAAGCCCTTGGAGATTGTTTCAATCCGTACAGGGCCTTTTTAAGCCAACAAACAGCATAACGAGACTCCCCCTGAGCAACAAATCCAGGTGGTTGCTCCATGTAAACCTCTTCATGTAAGTCACCATGTAAGAAAGTATTTTTCACATCTAATTGAAACAATGGCCAATTGCGATTGGCGGCAATAGAAATAAGGATTCAGATCGAAGAAATCTTCGCAACAGGACAAAAGGTCTCATCATAATCAATACCATAGGTTTGTGTGTATCCCTTTGCAACAAGGCGAGCCTTCAATCGTTCAACAGATCCATTATGGAGATATTTGACAGTGTAGACCCATTTACAACCAACCATTTTGGAACCGGGGGGTAAGGAAACAAGATCCCATGTCCTATTAT